CCAGCCCATGGGATGGTCCCAGCTGCAGTCAGATGGACCATCCCTCTTCAGTTAAATCTTGCTTTTACTTTCTTTAGTTTAACCTTTTTATAAACCCAGAGGTTTATTTCCATGATGATTCTAAATCTCAAGTTGACAAAATTAATCATATAAATAGAAATAAACAGAATGCACTTGGACTGTCTCTGAAGCCGATTGCTATTATTAACCTCTGCTTATTTAGTATTGCAGGATTTTCGCAGGTCAGCTCCTACGACCACTCTATATATGAACCCCAAGTGTAGAGGATAGGGCTGCCCTAAACACAGTTTTGAGTGTGCAGAGTTTGCTTCTCTGATCCTTTCTACTCCTTTTTATGCCTCCTTTTCTATCTTTTCTTTCTCATGCCACTAGATTCTGTTGCCATCAGAATCCTGTGTAAAAGATTACTTTTTTTCCCACAATTGAATCTTTTTGTTCCTTAGACACTCCAGGGCTGAAGATCAAACTCAGGGCCTCAGACCCATGTGTTTCTTAAGTTGATTAATGCACTCAAATCTGGCAAAGAAACAGCCGGGTTAGACCAATTCAAGTTAATGTGTAAAGAGCCAGAAGGCTTATAAGGCTCCCAGAGTATTTATATCTTTTTTTTTTTTAAAACTCATTTTTATTTCAGCTAGGTGGTGGTGGCACACACCATTAACCCAGCACTGTAGAGGCAGAGGCAAGTGGATCTCTGAGTTTGAGGCCAGCATGGTCTATGTAGAGAGTTCCATGACTTCCAGAGCTATATAGAGAGACCTTGCTTTGAGAAAACATATTTTTTTACAAGAGAAGATATATTTTTACTTTTTTATATGTGTGAGTATTTGGCCTGTATGTATGTATGTGCACTATGTACATGGTTGGTGCCCTTGAAGGTCAAATAAAGGCATCACATTCCCTTCAACTGAATTTATGATTGGTCATGAGCTAGGAACATGGATACTAGGAACTGAACCTGGGTCCTTGGTAAGAGGGTAAGTGTTCTTACCCTCTGAGCTATCTTTCTAGCTCCAGGAAGTTAATTTTGAAAGCCCCCAAAAAGAAATAGGAAACTATTCTAAGAACTTCACTTAGATGAACACTCAATAAACTTCATTTGTTAGATAGTACTTACTATTTAGACTAGGGTAGCAAACTACAGAAATCATTCTGCCTCTATTGAGATTAGAGGCCTGTGCCACCATGCCCAGCTCCTTTGCCTTTTTTTCAATAAACATAGAAGCAATAAATGTTCATTGTAGAACCTTTATGAAATGCATGTAAGCTACAAAACAGTCATCTGTAGTCATACACACAGTAGTATGCATTTTGTTGTGTGCCCTTTTCTATATAAATAGTTTTTTGTTTATAAAACTAGAATATATTATTTTAGTAACTGCCTAGTACAATTTTAACTTACTGGCTATCTAGGATATTGCCATCTTGTTTTGTTTTTTTCTTTTTGGCAGGAATCAGTCAGAGTTAACATATGGTCTCCTATAGCCTCAAACTCACTATGTAGCTGAGGCTATTCTTTAACTCCTAATCTTCTTGTCCTTATGTCCAAATGCTAGGAAACTAGCCATTGACCACCAACACCCTACTACCAGGTCTTTAACTATCTCTAGAGTGGGTTCTGAGAAGTAGAGTTGATAGCCATAGGCTGTACACATTCTTAAGACTTTGGGAGCCATAGGCTGTACACATGTTTAAGACTTTGGGTATCGCTGACAAATTTTCATTTATTGGTCATACCAATTTTCACATAAACTGCAGCAGCAACAACAGAAGAGACTTAGATTTCTCTGTTCCTTTATTTCTTTTCACTCTGAGCTTCCATGAGTCAGAAAACTGTTTTGAGCCATGCGTGGTTGTGCAGACCTTTAATCTCAGTACTCAGGAGGAGAGGCAGGTAGATCTCTGTGACTTTAAGGCCAGCCTGATCTACATAATGAGTTCTAGATAGCCAAGACTGAAAAGAAGCCCTGTCTTAAAAAAATAAAAGAAATAGAAACTGTTTTGGTCTGTTGGTGGTGGTTACATTTGTTTTGACAGTTACTGTTCAGCAAAATACTTGTTAGTTGCTACACAAAATGTAGCATGTGTATTGCCTTTACAATACTGTTCTCTAACTGCATTGCTTTATTTACCTCTCCTGAACCTCTGGAGTTACCATTCCTAACAGCTTACCGACTTTGGTGTCATAGGTGATCCTAGGAGCTGGTCAACTCTTTCAAGCTCAGCAAGACCTGCTGCACCGCACAGCTCCCCTGCTCTTGTCTTATTACCTCATTAAGTGGGCAAGTCAGTGCTTGGCAACTGATGTCCCAGTTGACACACTGTGAGTTTAATTTTTTTTTTTATTTTTTTAAGTTATTTAAAAATAGGCTGTTGAGTTTGGTTTTGACTTTAAGAAAGGGTGAGACTAGAGAGATAACTCAGTGGTTAAGAGCTCCAGCTACTCTTCCAAAGACATGGGCTCAACATCCAACACCCACATGTTGGTTCACAACTGCTTCTAAGTCCTGTTCTAGGGTATCCAGTGCCCTGTTCTTGGCCTCCACTGGCACTGCACAGACATGGTATACAGGCATAATATATAGGCAAGACACCCTTACACAAAAAATAAAATTTAAAAGGAATTAAATTTATTTTTTAAAAGACATGTTTAGATCTTCCATTTTTTTAACAGTTGAGTGTAATGTATCAAAAAGTAATACTTTTTAATATAAACCATACACAAAATGGTTGTTAGAAGTAGACTGAAGTTTATATGCGAAGAAGGAAGAAAAGTCCCACAATGACAGTGTGCTCCTGTTGCTTTCCCTGTTGCTCTGATAAAATACGCTGAGAAAGTTGACAGTACTGTCATCAGTCAGTGAGGTCTGGCACACAAGTGACTTTGAACAGCCCTTGAGCAGTGTGATAGACAACAGTCTAACTCCTGAATCCTGTTTTCTGACCTTTTTAAGCTTTCAGTGGAATTTTTATATGCTTTATATTAATTAAATCAACAATATAAAATAGATTTAAGAAATATAATATTTAACAGAGTATTTATGTTTTCTCTTTTTTCATAGGGAGTCTAATCTACAACATTTGTCAGTACTGGAGCTAACTGATTCTGGTGCCTTAATGGCAAATAAATTGGGTAAGGAGTAGGCCATGTGTATATTTGCTTTAATTTGGGGTTTATTATGTATTTATTAAAATGTTCTTTCATCACCTTTGTTGTAGAAATGGCCTTGCTCTTTGCTTTTGTGCCATGAGCAACCTGTGGCCTGAGACCTGTGGCAAGTCATCTGGGAAGATGTAGTCCCAGATCAGGCATTAAGTGAAGGGTGTCATAGGTGTATGTGTAGCACAGATAAACACTGTCAGGACAATTATAGAAAACCACCAAGAGAAGCCTTCCTAAAAATCAGAATCTTGCATTTAGTGTTTCTTACACTGCTGTTTGGTCCATTGTTTTTTGATACTCCAGTAATTAATTCAACAGAATCATTTTTAACTTTACTAAGTTCTAACTTTACTAAGTGGCTTTTGTACACTTATCTTGATCTTGCCTCAGTCTTTAAGGCACTCTCATTTATGCTTCAGTATTTACATACAGGATTTGTTTGAGCTAGAAGGTGGAGCCTTGGGACTAGTATAAACAGTTTCTGGATAGCTTGCTTAACTGTAGTGAGATGATATAATGATTTGCCTTGCTTTTCCATTGTATATGCACAGTATGACAGTTTGCAGACTGCTTTCATTGCCATGCTACTGATGACATTCATGATGTGCTGTGTTTCTTTTAAGTATCTAGCCCTCAGACAATTATGGAGTTATTCTTCCAAGAAGTTGCAAGAAAACATATTATATCTCATCTCTTCTCTCAACCCAAAGCCCCTCTAAGCCAAACTGGATTGAATTGGCCTGAAATGATTACTGCAGTTACCGGTTATTTGTTGCAGCTTTTGTATCCTTTTGCTTGAAAACCAGGTGACAATTTTGTTTAAATTGACCTTAAAGCCTTTATTCTTGCTGTATAATGAAATTTATTTTCTTTCTCAGTGCTGGAGATCAAGCTCAGGACAACACAGACTAGACAAGTGTATTAACACATAGCTAGCTACATCTCCAGATCCATGAGGAACATTTAAACATTTTTAAAATAAGGTGGGGAGAGATGGCTCAGTGGTTAAGAGCATGTACCTGAGGACCTGAGTTCAGCTCACAGCAGCCATGTGTGATGGCTCTAAACTGCCAGTAACTCCATCTTCAGAGGATCCAACTTCCTTTTAAGGTTTTCTTTATCCAGAAACCTTTTACAATAGTCTCAAGATTTCACCTTCTAGCTCAAACAAATACTCTATATAAATACTGAAGCGTGACTGAGAGTGCTTGGCCTCTGAGGGGCAGTGGCACTTACTTACATGCACATACCATACACAGATGAGTTGCGTGCAAAACCAAAAGAGGACGACAATATTTATTTTAAGATACCCCTTTTTTGTTATCGTTTGGAACAGAGTCTATATAGCCCTGGCTGGCCTAGAACTCACTCTGTAGACCATGCTGAACATGAACTCATGTAAATCCACCAGTCTCTGTCTCTCACGTGCTAGGATTGAAGCATGGGCTCTGGGTTTTTGGTTGGGTTTTTTTTTTTTTTTCTTTCTTCCTCCTTTGAATTCTAAGGATCAAACTCAGATCTTAAAGCTTTCACAGCTCACACTTGTAGATTAAGCCCCAGGGCTTTTCTTGTTTGGTTGGTTTATTTTTGGTTTGTTTTTCTCTTGTTTATAGTTTTTATTTTTATTTTATGTATATGGGTGTTTTGCCTGTATGTGTGTTTGAATACGACTTGCAGTGCCCGTGAATGCCAGAGAGGGCATTGGGTCCTCTGGAACTGAAGTTACAGATGATTGTGGGTCACCTGACTGTAGGTGCTGAGAATTGAACCAGATCCTCTGGAAGAACAACAAGTGTTCCTAAACTCTGAGCCAACTCTCCAGCCTACTCTTACTTGTTTTTAATTAAACTATTTCAGTGATTCTTCTGAGTTTCATACCTATTAATAATGGATATTTCAAGTTTCACTCAAAGACAAGGAAAAAGCAAAATTCCTTAATAAAGAAACTAGATGGCCTAGCAATCCTGGTTGTCTCTTTCTAGAATGTTTGATGGGAAATTGCCAGTATGTACAATTACAGGTGAGTTTTGTTGAACATTTCTTACCAGTCTTATAAAGGTGGCTATAGATTATAGTTAACAACTATATTTTAAATGGACTGATAGCAAGAACTATAAAAATTAAACTTGATTATGCCAAGACATGCCCCAATAGAATATCTATTCTACTCTATTCTATTCTATTCTATTCTATTCTATTCTATTCTATTCTATTCTATTCTATTCTATTCTATTCTCTCTCCCTCTCCCTCTCCCTCTCCCTCTCACTCTCCCCTCTCACTCTCTCCTCTCCCTCTCCCTCTCCCTCTCACTCTCCCCTCTCACTCTCTCCTCTCACTCTCTCCTCTCACTCTCTCCTCTCACTCTCTCCTCTCACTCTCTCTTACACACACACACACCCCATGCTCTCTCATTCTTGCTCTCTATATAGAGTCCTGATTATTGAACCCAGGGATTTGAATATGCCAAAAAAAAAAAAAAGAAGAAAGAAAGAACGAACTGTACTGCAGAAGCAGGTGGATCTCTGTGAGTCTGAGACCAGCCTTGTCTATATTGTGAGTTTCGGTCCAGGCAGAGCTCCGAAGTGAGACCTTGTCTCAAAAAAGCAAACGGAATGAGAAAACTGCCACTGTGCTGTATCCCTAGACTCTAGGGAGAATGACTGAGGCAAACATAATCCCTCTGGGAGTCAGGATTTGGCCCAACCATAAGATATCATAGACGCCACTTAGAATCTTGTAACGTACAAATGACAATCTCTTACAAGGCTTTTGTGGCCTAAAAGTAATGCTCAACGTTTTAAGGGGAAAGGACTTGGGATAAGTAAAACATAAATTCTGGTAGATACAAGCCAAGCCTGGCTCATCAGACAGAAAAGGATCACCAGTTATAAAACTATCCATTCCCAGCATTCCTGGAAGAACAACCAAGCACCTCATTCAATTGTAAAGATACTCTTCATGTTTAACTTTCCTGGCTTCTCAAGCACTTCTCTGAATGCACAGGCCTTGTATACCCTCTACATCCCTGCATGTATATCTCAGTACCACGTGCTTGCTTTGATACCCATGGAGATCAGAAGGTACTGAATCTCCTGGGACTGGAGTTGTGGACTACCATGTGAATGCTTGGAACTAAGCACCAGTTCTCTACAAGAAGAAGTGCTGAGCCATCTCTCTGGTCATTATGTTTTTAAGTTGTCCCTCTTTAACAGTAGCTTACAGAGCCACAGCCATGCATGCACAGCCACTCCTTAGCCATGAGCCTAAGTCTCATTTCTCTGAACTGTTCAGAAAAGCTTTTTTTTTTTTTTAATTTCTAACTTTTTTCAAAGCATGTCTTCTAACGTTTGGAAGTGGGTATCCCCACTTTTTCTCCAGAGCTTTTCTTGTTGTATAGCTGGCCTCATGCCAGCTTCACTCAAACAGCATGGTTTTCTCTCTGTGTTTTTACAGCTTCCTCCTCTAAGCGGCTGACTGCCCTGGGCTTTTTCTTTTAGACTCTAGTAAACTTGTCTTCAGATTCAAAAAGAAAACTTTTAAATTCTCATTAGGTATTCTTTAAAATAAAACAAACCATTTACATATAAATCCTTTATTGAGCCGGGCAGTGGTGGTGCACGCCTGTAATCCCAGCACTTGGGAGACAGAAGCAGGTGGATTTCTGAGTTCGAGGCCAGCCTGGTCTACAGAGTGAGTTCCAGGGCAGCCAGGGCTGCACAGAGAAACCCTGTCTCAAAGAACAAAACAAGCAAACAAACAAACAAAAATCCTTTATTGAAATATACTCACTGAATATGGAAACACTAAAAACTGGAAATTGCTTAGATGTGAAGTTATATGTGTTTATCTGTTTCTGGACTCCTTTACTTGCTATGTTGCCCCAGCTGGCTTTGTACTCTTGACCACAAGTGATCTTCCCATCCCAGGTTTGAATTAGTTGTGATTATAGGCATGCACCACTACCCTGGCTCTGCTTTCTTATGGTCCATAGTTTATGTAAAAATGTACTAACTGAATTCATTTTTCTGAGTATTTCAGAAATAAAGCCTTGTACCGATCACTCTCTCCTCCTCTGAAGAACTTAGAAATGACTGTTCTTATGTAATGCTTATTTCCTAATCAGAATGTTCCTTTATGCCTTTTAGGATTATATCCAACTACTGCATCCCTGGTGTCAAGTCAATGTTGGATCCTGTCGTTTTATGCTGGGACGGTGTTACCTAGTTACAGGAGAAGTACAGAAGGTAAACTACATTTGAGTGGTGAGCAAGCTAGTAAGGAAGACACCTGGTTTCCGTCTGTCTAGGATATAGGAAATGGGAGGCATAGAATCTTCTGGAAAAGGTTAGAGAAGACTGACCAGTAAAGGACATTATATGTGTGTCAGGATTAGCCAACTACCTGTACTTTGTTAGTACAGGGAAGTAAGAAGAAAATATTAAAATCCCTCTACTCCAGTGCAGACGTTTTTAATAATTAGTGATGCTTTTGGTTGGTTTGTCAATTGGGTTGTTTGTTTTGTTTGAGACAGGATTTCTCTGTATTGACCATGCTGGCTTGGAACTCAGAAATTAACCTGCCCCTGCCTCCTGAGTTCTGGGATTAAAGGCATGCTCCACCAGCACTTACTGATGTTTAGTGATGGGTTTTTTTTTTTGTTTTTTTTGTTTGTTTTGTTTTGGTTTGGTTTGGTTTTTGGTTTTTTGAGACAGGGTTTCTCTGTGTAGCTCTGGCTGTCTTGGAACTCACTCTGTAGACCAGGCTGGCCTCGAACTCAGAAATCTGCCTGCCTCTCCCTCCCAAGTGCTGGGATTACAGGCGTGCGCCACCACCGCCCGGCATGATGTTTTTTTTTTTTTTTTAAAGTTGAATTCACATAGTTGGAGCTGATGGATGTTTCTGTAGTTAAGAGCACAGGCTGTTCTAACACAGTATCCAGGTTTAATTCCCATTCCATGTGACAGCCCACAACCAAGTGTAACTGTAGCAGCTCCACAAGAATCTGAAGCCTTCTGGCTAGTGTTGCACAAACATATATACAGGCAAATACCCATCTATAATACAGTTTAAGGAAAAAAAAGATTGAACTAGTGAACAGTCATATACCTACCAGTCACATCCTGTAGTTGGTAACATGCTGCTGTAGGTACTTTATTACAAACGGATCAAATAAAAACATGAAGATGAATTTTAAGTTTTTAAAAAGCCAAATAGACATCTTATTAAACTTTACACACATATGTGAGATACTAGTGATTAAATCTAGACCCTTGCCTAATAGTCCATTTCCACTGAGCTATGTCCATGGACCAACTCCACCTTTGCTAATTAAATAATATGAGTTTGTTCCTTCACAATATAAAATCAATGTGTTGATAGGACTGGCTTAATTCTAATGGTTCCCCCTTTTTATTTATTAAAGATTTAATTTGAGTTTGAGGCTGGCCTTGAATTTGCTATCCTGGTACTTACTTCAGTCTCCCAAATTGTTGGAATTAAGTGCACATCTGTATTTTGTTTTAAGACAGGATCTCACTGTGTAACCCTGGCTGGCCTAGAATTCACTGTAGACCAGACTGGCGTTGAACTCACAGACATCTACCTACCTCTGCCTCCTGAGTACTGGAAGTGTATTTGCTTTTTCTGTTTTGTTTTGTTGTTTTTGAAACAGGGTCACTATGTAGACCAGGCTAGCTTTGAACTCATCAAATATTTATCTACCTCTGCCTCCTGAGTGCTGGGACTTGTCATCACATCTGGCAAAACATGTTTGCTTAGTAATAATAATATTTAACATGCTGGAGAAATGTTTCAGCGGTTAAGAGGACTTGTTGCCATTTTAGATGACACAGATTAAATTCGTACATGGTGGCTTACATCCATTAGTATAACTCCAGTTCCAGGGAGTCTGACATCCCTTTCTGATGTACACATGATATGCACATGTGACAGCAAATATAAATATGTAATGGCATTTTAAGAGTGAAATAGGACCGGGCAGTGGTGGCACACGCCTTTAGTCCCAGCACTTGGAAGACAGAGGCAGGCGGATTTCTGAGTTCGAGGCCAGCATGGTCTACAGAGTGAGTTCCAGGACAGCCAGAGCTACACAGAGAAACCCTGTCTCGAAAAACAAAACAAAGCAAACAAACAAACAAGACTGAAATAGGGACAAACAAGGTGGTTTTTTAGTGGTAAGAGCACTTGCTGCAAACCTGAGTTCAGTCCCCAAAACCTACATACCAGAAGGAAAGAATCATTTTCTGAAAATTGTTCTCTGACCTCTATGTGTACAGTGGCACATGTGCACAAAATAGATGTAAAAAACAAACAAAAGAATTTTTTTTTCTAAATGAGAAAATTTTGAGAAAAAATATTAAATCCTCAAAATTTAGATTTGGCAGCCAGGCATGATGATGCATACCTTTAATCCCAGCAACTGGGAGGTAGAAGCAGGTTTGCGACCAGTCTAGTTCACCTAATGAGTTCTAAGATGGCCAGGGCTACATATAGAGACCCCCGTCTCAAAAAACTAAAACAGATAAACAAAGAAAATTTAGATTTGACAGAAAATGTGAATGTAGTATAGTTTTAAGCAATTTTGCTTCTATTTTAGCTTTCCCTAGTTAATGCATCCTAATTTATAGTAACTAGAATTGGAATGAACCTTTTCTTTGTTCAAACAGTCTCATTATGGAGTCCAAGTCTCAAAATTGTTGAGGCCAAAGGGGTGTCTGTCCCACTATGCCCAACCTTTGAACAATCTCTAGAAAGTTATTTTGTGTTTTATTATTTTATCTCCTCAGGCTCTGGAATGTTTCTGTCAGGCAGCATCTGAAGTGGGCAAAGAAGAATTTTTAGATCGTTTGATCCGATCAGAGGACGGAGAAATTGTGTCCACCCCCAAATTGCAGTATTATGATAAGGTACAGTGTTGTGCTTGGGCCCTTCTTAAACACTCTGTAGTGTTGGAAGTGCATCCATCTCAAATTCATTGTCTTGGTATTTTCTCTCATGGAAGAAGCCACTGTGTCTGTTAGCACAAGTTTAGCTGGTACTCTGATTTGGCCCATTTGTGGCTCGGTCCTAGGTCTTGGAAGAGTCAGTTTCTCAGCTACGGGTTGGAGTAAGGTAGTGATGCCTTCACCTGTCTCTTCTTCAGTGGGTTATATTTAACTAGATTGACCTTCTTTTTTTTTCATGTGAATAAAACCTTTCTCTTTCTCCCCTTCTCTCTCTCTCTCTCTCTCTCTCTCTCTCTCTCTCTCTGTCTCTGTCTCTGTCTCTGTGTGTGTGTGCGTGTTTCACTCAAAATGCTGTGAGTTAGCATGTACCCATAAGTGCTTTTGAGAGGCTAAGGTTGGGGAATCACTTGAAGTTAGAAGCTAGGCATTCCAACACCTGCTGGGAAAATATAATGAGGTTCTTTGTCTAGTATTTGAGGCTCTAAGTTTGAACCCTAGGAGGAAAAATACCACTTAAACACAAAAGAGCCATGTAGAAGACAATATACTAACTGTGAAAGTACAAACTGGAAGGAAAGATGTACCTAGCATTTCTCCCTTGATCTAAAACTTCATCAGCCACATCACAACAGTGGCAGACTATGAGCAAGTCTGATAACTCACCAAGAAATAATGGGACTTTTTAAAATGTGATTTTAAACAAAGTAAACCTTGAGCCATGAAGTGCCACTTCAAGATAACTATGAAACAATAATTTTTTAAGGATATATGTATATAACCACAATAGATTTATTAAAGCTACTTTAGAAAATTCATTATCTATATCAATTTCAGTAAGAAATATATACTAAAAGATGTACTTATTTAATGAAAGATTTTAAGTTACTTTCCAAGTAGTAGTACTCATAAAAGTAATGGGTGTGGTGCACGTATGGATATGCTCATCCATGGAAGGCAGAGGTCAACTTCATGTATCTTCTAATATCACACTCTAGCTTTCCATCTTTATTTTATTTTAGATTTTTTTTTTTTTTTAGTTCTATGTTTGTGAATGTTTGCCTGCATGTAAGTACACCATGTGCTGTATGCCTGGTGCCAGCAGAGGTCAGAAAATGGTATAGGATCCTTCTATACCCTCTAGAACTTTAACTAGAACTCTGGGTGGTTGTGAGCCATCATGTGGGTGCTAGGACTGTATGTATGAAGCTTCCCCCATATATGCATATGCACTATGTGTGTGTCTGTATGTATGAAGCTTCCCCCATATATGCATATGTACTATGTCTGATGCCCATGGAAGTCAGAAGGGGGCCTCTGGAATAGAAGAAAGGATGCTTGTGAGCCAGTGCTCCTGACCACTGAGCCATCTCTCCACCACCACCTCTCCACCACCACCCATCTTTTCTTAATTTAGAGATTTGATTTTATTTGTTTATGTCTGTGTGAGTTTATAGCACATGTGGGTGACCTCAGAGGCAAGAGAAAGGAGTCTGTTCCTCTGGTGCCAAAGTTACAAGTGGTTTTGAGCTGCTATACAGTGCTAGGGACTAAATTGGTTTCCTGGAAGAGCAGGAAGTATTCTTAACCCCTGAGCCATCTCTCCAGTCCCTCTGTCTTATTTTTTGAGACAGGATCTCTCACTGAACAAAGAGCCAGCCATTTTGGCTTGATTGGCTGGCCATTAAGCACTCCCAGTATCCGCCTCCCACTACTGGGCTTACTGTTACATGCTGCCACACCCTCCCTGCCTTTTACATGAATGTTGGGAATCCAAACTCAAGTCCTCATGCTTGTACAGCAAGTGTTTTGCCAGTGAGCCATCTCCCCGGCCCTCTGTTCTGACTGAGCCCCTCACATGAGATCATGTGGGGTTTCCCACTTAAGTTGACACATCAGCATCTAAAATGTTTTCAGTTTGGGTAGTATGGATTTTAGATTAGGGGTGATCAACCTGTAATAAAATTGTATTTATTCTTTCAAAGTCACTTTCCTGATCCTTGGGTGCTAAAGAAGCTAGACATATACATACATACATACATACATACATACATACATACATACATATGAAACTAGACATGTATGTGTATATATAGGTATGTGTGTGTATATAAATATACACGTGTATATGGTGATATTATTGATTGACATATATATTGAAATGGGAAATGACTTTGAAAGAATAAGTACACATATATGGTGATATTGCTAAATATTTGATAAAAGTAAAGCAGATCAAGGGGATAGTGGAAGAAATGTTACTTTATTATCAAAATATTTTAGAAACTGTGTGGTGGTTTCAGTGTGACGATTTGGGTCCCAAGACTCTTAAGTGAATTTGGACAGGTTATTCTTTGTTGATAGTCTGTTAGTCTTCATCCAGTTGCCGTGAGAATAGTAGTTACCCCTATACCATATAGGTCTATAATCAGAGTGATTTTTGTCCTCTCAGCTTATGGATGCAAATGTAAGGACATAGGCATATTTGGGTCTTAGAATTTTTTCATTACTTCACCACATCTGTCAATAGGGAAAGAAAAATGCATATGCCTATGGTCTCAACACCTCGAGACTAGGGCATAAGGGTTACTCAGGATTTCCATTCAATCTGGCTTTATCTATAAATATGTAGAATAGGACAACTGTAAGCCCTGTATAATCTATTACTCATTTATAGTAGTTTTTACCAATGTTCTAAACAGAATGCTTGAATCATCTCTTAAATGGCACCTATGTGTTTCAGCCTAACACTTGCAAACAAAATTAATCTGTAACTAGAGCCTGTTACCACTCTAGTAGCATTTTCTTGTAAAACAAATGAGTTTCCCACCTGTGCGTGTGTGGGTAGATTGGTTGGATGGTTAGTTTTTGATATACCATCTTGTGTAGCCCACAGCTGAACTCAGTGTGGTTCTTGTTCCTCCTACCTCCACATGCCAAATCTGGGATTACAGATGTGCTCAGCTCAGCTGGAAGATCTTAACTATCCTGCCCGTCCTAGTACCTCCTCCTTGTGGTACTAGTTCACTGAGCAGGTCTTCACACTTGCTGTCATGGTCTCACCTAATTATCTTTTCTGAACAACTCAGAACCATTAGAGTGCCTCTGCTGAGCCATCTCACCAGCCCCCAGTCACATGAATTTTCATGGAAATTTCTTAACTTTTTAGGTTTTACGTCTACTAGACGTTGTTGGATTGCCTGAGCTGGTTATTCAGCTCGCTACATCAGCAATTACTGAAGCGGGTGATGACTGGAAAAGTCAGGTAAAAATTAACTACATTCAGTTGTTTTCCTTAAGGTTAGTTATGAATTTGGCATGTTAATTTCTGTTGCTCTTTTTTTGATATTTCATTTAGGCTACTTTAAGAACATGCATTTTCAAACATCATTTGGACTTGGGTCATAATAGCCAAGCATATGAGGCCTTAACTCAAATTCCTGACTCTAGCAGGTACTCTCCCAGTTGTTTTTAGAGAAGGCAGTTTACCAGCCCTGTTTAACTCAGACAGTTCACCCTCATCTGCTTCTTCCCTCTAGGCAGTTAGACTGTTTGCGACAGCTCGTGGTCGTTCTTTGTGAACGTTCCCAACTGCAGGATCTTGTAGAGTTTCCTTATGTGAATCTGCATAATGAGGTAATTAATTTGTCCACTTTTGTCTAGTAACAAGTCTTTTGACTGCCATGATTGCTACTAACGTCAGCGTCTGATTGCTCATTTTTTGTTAGGTGGTAGGAATAATCGAGTCACGTGCTAGAGCTGTCGACCTTATGACTCACAATTACTATGAACTTCTCTATGCTTTTCACATTTACCGGCACAATTACCGAAAAGGTGAGCCAGAACCTTGCTGTTAAAAGCAACTTTATTAGTTTAACCATATTTCCAAAAACATTGTGAATAGGACGTATGTTTTAATTATATATAAGATTGCATGTGTGTGTCTAATAACATTAAGTTTGTATATATATTGACTCTCATTCTATAACATTTTCAAGTGATTTCCAGTAAACTGGTACTGGAATAAACTCCGTACATTTTCTGCCTGACTATAAAGGGAGTATTGACTTTCTCAAACTAGAAGTGCTTTGTGCTCCTTAGTTTTAGTTCCTGTACCCTTGATTGCCTCCCTTTTTTATTTTGTTTCCTAGAGTAAAATCTTAATTAATTCCATAAGTGTTCTTAGGTCTCCTGAATATAACAGTCTTCCCTATTATCCGTGGTTAAACTGTCATATCCCTTCAACATTATACAAGGTCTTTAAAAAGATCACAATTTAGCCAGGCAGTGATGGCTCGTACACCTTTAATCCCAGCGCACAAGAGGCAGACAGAGGCAGGCAGATCTCTGAGTTTGAGGCCAGCCTGGTATACAGAGCAAGTCCCAGGATAGCTAGAGCTACACAGAAAAACCCTGTCTCAAAAAAAAGAAAAAAGAAAAAAGAAAAAAAAAGTATGTTACAGGTATGACACTTACTACATGATTACTGCAAATGACTATGTACGTTATCTCTTTCTCTTTTCTTTTGAGACAAAGTCTCACTATGTAACTGGCTGTCTCTAAACTCACTAGGTAGCCCATGCTGGCCTCACACTTAGAGATCTGCCTCCTGAATGCTGGCATTAAAGGCTTGTGCCACCATGTTGGCAACATTCTCTTATACAAAAATGAAAGTAAAATGAGAGCTCAGTACTTGCTGTACAATGACAAGGACCAGAGTTCAGGTACTGAATGCACAGAACACTAGGTGATAGACAGACAGACAGATAGACAAATGGCCACACACTTTTAAACAAGTAAAAAAACAACCACTAAATGGTTAGTTTATGCAATGTGCATTTTATCAGTTTTTCAAAAAGGACTATAGGGCCTGGAGAGATGGCTCAGCAGCTGAAACCTTACACTTCTGTAACTTAGGACTCGATTTTGGGTACCACCCTACATCAGGTAACTCACAATTACCAGCTCCAGGGATCTGGTGTTCTATATGGACACTTGCACACATGTGACATATACCTCCTTCCATCTTATACATGTAATTAAAACTGAAAAATAAAATCTGAAGAAAAAAACAGGAAATGTTTTTGTTTTTTTTAAGACAGGATCTTAAAGTATGCCTTAGCCTGGTCTCCAACTCATGATCCTTCTGCCTCAGGCATCCAAATAGTAGTATTAGAGACATGTGCCTCTATTCCTGGCTTAGTTTATGCATTCTGAAAGGTTAGTTGCCCAACATGGATGCTGAGAACTGATCTCAAGTCATTGGCAGGAGTAGTACATCTCTTAATCCTAAACCATCTCTTCTAGTAGGATCTTTAATAAATTTATTCTGTGCACATGTGCTATGGCAGACTTATGGAAATCAGGAAATTTACTGAAGTCAGTTCTATCCTCTGGCCATGGGAGTCCCAGGGGTCAAACGGGTGTTGCCAGATTTGGCAACAAGTGCCTTTATTCACAGACCTATCTCATCAGCCCCATGTTGGAGAGTTTTACTATTGGCTTTGTTTTTTTTTTTGTTTTGTTTTGTTTTTCTTTACACTGGAGGTCAGACTCAGGGCCCCAGGCATTAGGCAAAGGCTCTACAACTGAGCTACTTTTAGCCTTGTTTTTTTCACTGTATTTTAGCTGTTTGTAAATGAACTATTCAGAGACATTCTAAGTGTTTTATGATCATTCTCCAAGACTCTTTCCTCCTACAAAACTGAAGTTCCATGGCTCTGTTCTCCCAGAGTCCATCCCTAGCACATGTTATTCTGGTTGCCTTCTGTGAATGTAGCTGCTGATCTGCAGTACTTGTCTTTGGAACTGACTTATTTCAATTAGCTTGACTTTAGAGTTCATACATATAGTTGCATGTGTTAAGAGTTTCCTTTTTTATTTCCTCTTTTAAGATTGAATTATATGGTTCAGTGGTGGAAAACTTGCTCACCATGTATGGAGGCTCTGGATTTTTTTTAATTTTATATGCATTGGTGTTTTGCCTATATGCATACTTGTGTGAGAGTGTTGGATCTGGAAGTTACAGACAGTTGTGAGCTGCCATATGGGTGCTAGGAATTGAACCTAGGTCCTCTGGAAGAACAATCAGTGCTCTTAACCACTGAGCCATCTCTCCAGCCCCTGAGGCTCTGGATTTCATTGCCAGCACCACTATACCCCCTAAAAATATTATAGGTGTATTAATATATCATGTTCTGCTTGCCCATCCATCAGCAGGTACATGGATCCCTTCTGCATTTGGGATATAGTGAATAATGCTGCATTGTAACCTCATCTCGGCCTGCTTTCCAAAGCCAGGCGTGGAGTGAGGATGGCAGCACAGCCAGTAGAGTGCTCAGTGAGCAGGCATGAGGACTTGATATGAACCTAGAATGCACCTAAATCTGCACCGTGGCCAGCTAGCTTAGCCTATCTGCACTCCAGACCAACAAGAGCTCCTGCCTTAAAAACAAAGTACATGGCTCCTGAGCAACACTGCCCACGTTTCTCCTCTGGCCTTCATATACACACAAACATACAGAGAGACACAAAATAAATAGCTAGACATGGTGGTGCTTGCTTATAATACACTGCTTGGGAGGTAAATCAGGGTTAAGAACTCAGTCATCGCTACAAAGCGAATTCAAGGCCAACCAGGACTCTCTTAGCTTCTGTACTTTTTACATTACATTCCCCAAAAAGGTGCTTGTTACAAGGGTACACCCCATATTCTCATCACAGTTTTTGTGTATGATTTTAAGTTATACTCAGTTTTGCCTCAGGTGTTAGTGCCTTGTGTGTAATGATTCTGTTTGTAAACAAACATTTGTTGTCTAATTTCCTCTTGTCTCATAGCTGGTACAGTGATGTTTGAATATGGTATGCGTCTTGGCAGAGAGGTTCGAACTCTTGGGGGACTTGAGAAGCAAGGCAACTGTTACCTGGCCGCTATTAATTGTTTACGACTTATTCGTCCAGAGTATGCATGGATCGTACAGCCAGCCTCTGGGGCAGTGGTATGAAAACTTTTATTTGGAGGATTTTTTCATTATTATAGGGATTTTGTCCTTTTAATTGTTATTATCTCATTTTGCTTCATTTATGTAAAGAATCTACTGAGGATGTGAGTGGTGGTGGCACATACCTAAAATCCCAGGACTCAGGAACTGAAGTCAAGGGGGAGTAGGACTTAAAAGCCAGCCTCATCCACAGAGTGAATTTAAGGTTACCCTGGGGTACATAGGACCCTGTCTCAAAAAGAGTCCTTAATAAATGACACCGTCTTTAATTTTAGTCTTGGTTAATTACATTAGAGAAGTCAGACAGTTTTTTTATCCTGCGATAGTTTTTTGTGTTATATAGGGTCAGAATTTACTAAGCCAAAGTTACCAGTGAATGATAGAACTATGGAGCCAATGAAAATTATGTTTTTATATACAGATCACATTATGACCTTGGTCTAAATAACTTGTAGACAAATGACTCCTTGACAAACAGCCCATTTTGTTGCGTTATGGTTATAGAACCCCTGTGAAAGAGTTATGCCAACTGAAATAAAAATAAGTCCTTGCCAGGTATCAAAAATTCTATCACTAATTTAAATATGAATGCTCTAATCACAGTTAATATTATAAAAATGAGATACGGTTTTTACAGTTAAGCCACTGGTTTTTGTTTTTCAGTCTGATCGCCCTGGAGCATCTCCTAAGAGGAATCATGATGGCGAGTGCACAGCTGCCCCAAGTGAGCCAGGGATTTCTGATCGGTGGATAGTAGCCATTGTTACAGTTCAGTAGATGTGGAGTAAAGTCTTAGAGAGAGTGTGTGTGTGATCACATATCACAGTGATTATGTGTAATATAGATAGATTTTAACATTATATATAATATTACAAATATCACACATAGTCATTACCTATTGTAAAATTACTTCATTTTACTTTAGTCTCAACTTTCTAATCTCCTAAAGGTTGTCTTAAGAAGTCTTTGGAGCCGGGCGGTGGTGGCGCACGCCTTTAATCCCAGCACTTGGGAGGCAGAGGCAGGTGGATTTCTGAGTTCGAGGCCAGCCTGGTCTACAGAGTGAGTTCCAGGACAGCCAGGGCTACACAGAGAAACCCTGTCTCGGAAAACCAAAAAAAAAAAAAAAACAAAAACAAAAAGAAGTCTTTGGAAATAGTGTCATATAAGAAATGAAAATTTAAAAAGTATTTCTTTGTGTTTAGCAAATAGTTCAGTGGATAAAGTGCCTGCTGTGCAAACATGAGGACCTGGGTTCAGATCTCCATTACCCACATAAAAAGCCAAGCATATGGTGTGCTTCTGTAACCTAGCTCTAAAGAAGACACAGAAAGATCCTGAGCGCTCACTGGCCAGCTAGTCTTGCCCAAATGGTGGTCTTTAATAGAACCAAGTGTGGTGACACACGCCTTTAATCCCAGCCCTCCAGGGCAGACATGAGCGTGTCTCTGGGTTTGAAGCCAGCCTGATGGATATAACAAGTTCTAGGCTAATCAGGGCTATGTACTGAGACCTGGAGCGGGCGGCAGAGGCAGGAAGGGGGCTAGAAAACAAAAGTGTGTTGCTTACTGTGTTCAAGTCAACTCAGTACCAAACATCAAACATCTTCACAAACATCTTCATCAGGATCCTTGATAACCAGGGGATGATGCCCTCTCACAGAGAGCTTGAACTCCAGATTGAATTCTGCCTCTCTCACTTAAGCAGTTGTAAGAGCTAAATTAGTCACATGTTTGAAACACTAAGCACTCCTCAACTGCAGGCTCTGAGTCTAATGCTTTGCTTGAGTCAGCTGTGTATAATAAGAAAGGGACATTGCTTAATTTTTACTGATTCCTCTTTTTTCTTCATTTCGTCCTCTATACCTTGGAAAATTAAACTGAGAGACTTTGTCTCACCCCCACTTCTCAAAAGTGGAATGTTATTTAATGTCTCCTTGAAATTGAAAGTTCATCTAATAGACACTCCTTATTCTTTTTTTTTTTTTTTAAGATTTATTTATTATATTCTGCCTGCATGTATGTCTGCAAGCCAGAAGAGGGACCAGATCTCATTACAGATGGTTGTGAGCCACCATGTGGTTGCTGGGAATTGAACTCAGGGCGTCTGGAAGTGCAGTCAGTGCTCTTCACCTCTGAGCCATCTTTCCAGCTCCTTATTCTTTGGATAATAAAATTTATTTGTTTTCCAGCCAATCGACAGATTGAAATTCTAGAATTGGAAGATCTGGAGAAAGAGTGTTCTTTAGCTCGTATTCGCCTCACGTTGGCTCGGCATGATCCATCAGCGATTGCCATTGCAGGTAGGAAGTTAACTGCTAACAGACCTGACCAGTGATGCGGGATCAGGCAGTGGGGAGATACGGTAGGTGGGCCTAAGGCAAGAGCGTGCTACTAAGGCAGAGATACTTGTTAACAATCAAAGCTTTTGGTCTTGTCTATATATGCCCTCAGGTGCACTAAGTAGTCATATTCCATTTCCACAGGAAGTTCATCAGCAAAGGAGATGTGCACTCTCTTGGTTCAGGCTGGCCTCTTTGACACTGCCATATCACTCTGTCAGACTTTTAAGCTTCCATTAACACCAGTCTTTGAAGGGCTTGCTTTCAAGTAAGTAAAAATTACATTTAATAGCCTTAATTTTTTTTTCTTTTCTTTTTCTTCCTCTTTTCTTTTTTCTTTTTCCTTTTTTTTTTAAGATTTATTTATTTCATGTATGTGAATATATACACACTGTCGCTCTCTTCCGACACACAAGAGGGCATCAGATCCCATTACAGATGGTTGTGAGCTATCATATGGTTGCTGGGAATTGAACTCAGGACCTCTGGATGAACAGTCAGTGCTCTTAACTGCTGAGCTATCTCTCCAGCCCCAATAGCCTTAATAGTCTTAGTTGCTAATGCGGAGATTCTGTCATATTACTTAGTGTGATACAGTTATCAGAAACTGCTAAACTAGATTATAAAGAGATGCTCTGTTTGGTTTTTGCAAAAATTTAAATTTTTTTGATAGCCTATAGTTTTATTTTATTAAAAAAAAATTAATCTTTACTAGGAGTAGTGGAGCACATCTCCAGTACCAGCACTTGAGAAGTAAAGACAGGAAAACTGGTCCAAGGCCAGTCTTAGCTATATAAGATCATGTATGACCTTTCTTGAGAGGACACTCTGAATCAAATAATAATGAAGGTGTTCATTCTGGCTGTGGTATGTGCTCTTTTTGGTCCTGTAGCTCTTGGAGTCATTTTTGAAAATTATTCCTTTCTCGTTTCCTCCTCTTTGTGTGTTCATGTGTGTGCCAGAAGACACCTCTTCCTTGGAAGCTGGCCGCCTTGGTTTTTGAGACATGATCTCTCACTGGGGCCTGGGGCTTACCTGTTAGACTGATGGGCCAGTGAGCTTAGGGGCTCTCCTTTTCTTTACCTTCCCAATGCTGGAGTTACTGGCATGCCACCATGCCCAGCTTTTTATTTGACTACTGGGGACCAAACTTGTGCTCTACAAGCAAGCACTTCAACTCCTGAGCTATTGTATTGTCCATAAAAATTAATTATGAGCTGGAAGTTTGACACAGGGTATACTTATCTAACATGTGGAGGGTCCTTCATAGATTCTGTTGCTAGCAATTATTTTTTTGAGACAAGGTTTTTCTTCATATAGCCCAGGCTGGCCTAAAAGTCCTGCTACTCTATAGCCTTTTAAGGACTGATGCTATAGATAGCTTTTTATTGAAGTTGTAGCTATTGGTAACATGCTTCATGAATGAAAATATTTTTGAAACATTGTAATTTGAGGGGCTGGAGAGGTAGCTCAATAGCTAAGAACATTGGCTACTTGACCTCCATAGGTACCAGGCATTCAAACGATACACAGACATGAGGCAAAACACCCATAATAATTAAAATAATTTTCAATCAAACTTTTTATTTTGGCTTATTGACACAGGACTGTCCTGGAACTCACTCTATAGACCAGACTGGGCTCTTAACTGATAGAAATCCACCTGCCTGTGCCTCCTGAGTGCTGGGATCAAAGATATGCACCACTGCCACCTGGCTTAAAATTGTCTTTATCTGCCTAGTTGTAATAGCAAAATAAAGTGGCTCGCTTCAGCATTTGGTTACTGGTGTGGGACCATTTTCATTGCAGGTGCATTAAGTTGCAGTTTGGAGGAGAAGCAGCACAAGGAGAAGCCTGGGCCTGGCTAGCAGCCAATCAGCTATCTTCTGTCATCACCACCAAGGAGTCCAGGTATATAGATAGCCCCAGGGGTTCTTTAGGCCTAAGTAGATTTACCAGATTTATTGGATCAATGGATCAAATTGGATCCATTGCCTAAATGTATGGAAACCACTGGTGACCGAGGAAATCAAAACCAGAATTATGGATGGCTGTGAGCCACCATGGGGGTGCTAGGAACTAAAGCCAGGTTCTCTGCAAGAGCTGTAAGTGCTCTTAATGGCTAGACCGTATCTCTTGACCCGTGAACAGTGCTTTATTCACCATACTTTTATTTCTTGCTTCTTTGAGAAGGGAGAGGGTAATTTGGGGTTTCTTGTTATTTTGAACTATGATTTCACTATGTATGTAGCCCTTACTGTTCTCAATTCTTTTTTTTTTTTTTTTTTTTAAATTTTTATTTATTTATTATATGTAAGTATTCTGTAGCTGTCTTCAGACACCCACAAGAGGGCATCAGATCCCATTATAGATGGTTGTGAGCCACCATGTGGTTGCTGGGATTTGAACTCATGACCTCTGGAGGAGCAGTCAGTGCTCTTAACCACTGAGCCATCTCACCAGCCCCACTGTTCTCAATTCTTAATTCCCCTGCCTCATCCTCCTGAGGGATGAGGTTGTTTATAGGCATGCAATGTCAAACCTGCCTTACCTAGGGTTTCTGAGATTTTGTTGTTGTTGTTTCTTTGTTTTTGTTTTGTTTTGTTTTTTTAAGATTTTTAACATTTTTTTCTCTATATGATGTATGTGTTTGTATATGTTCAAGTTATAGGAAGTTGTAAGCCACCTACTATTGATGCTGGGAACCAAATTGGGTCTTCTGGGAAAGCAGCAGGTATTCTTAACCACTGAGATATCCAGCCCTCTGCTAAGTTTTTATGAAACTTGGGGTTGGAGAGATGGCTCAGTGGTTAAGAGTTCATGTTACAACCAGACATAGTGGTGCATACCTTTAATACTAGCACTCTGGAGGCAGAGGCAAGTGGATCTCTATGAGTTAGAGGCCAGCCTAGTCTACAAAGTAAGTTCTAAGACAGCCAAAGCTATATAGTGAGACCCTATCTTTAAAAAAAAATTAAAAGAGTGCATACTGCTCTTGTAGAGGATTCAGATTTGGTTCTCAGCATCCACACCAGCCAGCTCACAAGTATGATACTTGGAGCTCCAGTGGGTCAAAGCCCTCTTCTGGACCCTGTTGGCACCTGCATTCACATGTGCGCAGACACACATGTAGACATATAATTTTAAAATTAATTAAATGAATGAATGCTGAATGTAATGGAACACAGTTTTAATCCCAGCACTCAGAAGGCAGAGGGAGGTGGGGCTCTGTAAATTCAAAGCCAGCCTGGTCTACAGACCAAGTTCCAGGGCAGCCAGAGCTACATGATAGAGACCATATCTTAGAAAAATAAAATAGAAGCTGAAAGTTTATAATTAGGGTGACATCCTAGCATTTATTATTCAGATCATGATGTATTATCTATGAGATATTCCTTTTCCATAACCTTCCTCAAGCACAAAGGGTACTTGTGATATCATGATGTGGGGATAGATACCCTATAGTCAGAACTACTTTCATGGCTGGAGCAAGAATATCACTTACACCCACAAAATTAAACCGAGCCTGGTCAACACAGTAAGGCCATTTCTCAAAGGAAAGACAAAAACAAGCACACACACAACCATGGGTCTGAAGTTTTAGGGTTTCAGTGTTTTAGGGTTCAGTTTCCACCACCCACGTGGTTGCACACTAACCCAGTTCCAGGGGATCAGTATCATCTTCTAGGTATTGCATAGCTGTGATGTGTAGATACAAACAAAGGCAAAGCACAAAATTTAAAAAAAGAAAAAGGTTGAATCTAAAACAATTTTTTTTCCTCTTTTACTCTTTAGCAGTCTGCCATGCATTAACCTCAATTTGTTCTGACATCCTCCATGAACTTACTCTGCTCAATATAGTGTGTATATACTGTTTCTCAAGAATTTTCTGAGCCAGGCAGTGGTGGCCTTTAATCTCAGCACTTGGGAGGCAGAGGCAGGCGGATTTGAGTTCGAGGCCAGCCTGGTCTACAGAGTGAGTTCCAGGACAGCCAGGGCTACACAGAGAAACCCTGTCTCGAAAAAAAAAAAAAACAAAAACAAACCTAATTTCAGTAAAATACCTTTTATGAGATGCATTTAACACCCTTTTATGCAGCTAAGCAATTAAAAGCGTAATCCTTTAGAAACTGAAAGTTCTTGTTTAAATATTTGCTATTTATGTTGTACCATTTCTGAGCTTGCATAATTCATAAACAGAAGTTTATTTGCCTCATGTTCTGAAAACTAGAACTCCAACATCAGGATTCCAGCATCGACAAGGGCCTTCTTGCTGTCTTTCAATAGCAGAAGATGGTAGATCAAGAAAGGAACAGTCTCATTTACCATCCATCATGACTAAGTCACTTTTTCAGTGAGGATACTGATCTGTCCATGAGATGGCATTTCTTACTAAACCACACTTCTCAAAGCTATTACATTGTGGATGGTGTTTACCACCATATGGGCTGGAAAGATGGTTCAGATAGTTCCCACCACTCATGTTGGCTGGCTCACAACCACCTGTATCTTCAACTCTGGGCATCTGACACCCTATTCTGACTGACCTCTACAGATACCTATAGACATTATACACACGCACACAACATGCATACATATAAATAAAAATAAATTTTGTTTTAATAATGTTTCTAGCCAGTGATGGACATGCCTTTAATCCCAGCACTCGGGAGGCAGAGGTAGGTAGGCGATCTCTGTGAGTCCTGGTCTACAAATTGTGGTCCAAGACAGCCAGGACAACACCCCCACCCCCCCTGCACCCCCCAAAAATGCTTCTAAAACGTAAACTTGGAAGGACCATTTCAAGTCACACCTTTTTTTACTCATTATTTGTGAGAAACACACAAGTGCCATATGTGAGGGTCAGAGAAGTTTCCAGTTAATCTCCTATTGCCTTTACCTGGATTCCCCAGCCTCACTCGGGTCTCTAGACTTACTCAACAAGTACCCTTTACCCACTGAGCTATCTCACATTAGCTGTTAACAGTTTGGGACTTGGTTTAGTTTTAATTTTTATTGTATTTATTTGGAGAGTGAACATGTCTGCAGGTCTGGGAACAACTTTCCAAAGTCAGTTCTCTCTTCCACCATGTAGATGCTAGGAGTCAAACTCAGATTGTCAGCCTTGTTAGCAAGCACCTGTACCTGCTGAGAGATCTGCTGAACCAGTGGTTTTTTTGAGACAGTTTCGGTAGGCAGGTTGGCCTTGATCTCCACCTACTGACTGCTATAATATAGGCATTGCCACCTATCTGCCTCAGTAGCAGTTCTCTGTTAGTAGTTTTAAATAATGAAATTAGAACATCAAAATTATTACATGAGAGACTGGACTTTGAACAGGCTCAGCAGTGCTTGCTGCTCTTGCAGAGAGGCAGATTTGGTTTGCAACATCTATATGGTGGCTCATAACTACAGTTCCAGGGAGGAGCCAACACCTTCTTTTGGCCTTCATGGGTACCAGGAACACAGATGGTGCATATACATGTATGCAGACAAATATATACAAAGGAAAATGTTTTAATTGATTTCTACACGAATATATTGCTTGGTCAGTTTGGGGGGAAAAGGCCAATTCCTTTTTTCTTTAAACTCCTAAAACTGAGGCATTAAATAAATAGGAGAAAAGTAAATCTTAACATTTAAAAATGTCTTTAGTAGCTCATCTAATTTCTAGTTACCATTTAGGTATATTATCAATTCAGTTGTTAGCTGGAGAGGTGACTCGGCAATTAAGAGCACGTATACCTTTTGTGGAGGACTCTAATTTGATTCCCTGGTACATGGTGGGAAAGAGACTCAACTCCTGAGAGTGTTCTGTAATTTCTATATGGACACTATGCATATGAGCCTACACATACAAGATAGATAAGATGGATGGATGGATGGATGGATGGATGGATGGATGGATAGATAGATAGATAGATAGATAGATAGATAGATAGATAGATAAAAAATAAGCTTTACTTCTGTATGTCTCCTCACACCTATGATCATAGCGCTCTGGAGAGTCTTAAGATCAGCCTTGTCTACCCAATTCATTAACTAATTAATTAGTTTCTGATTAATTAATAGAATAGGAATCTGAACTCCTTTGTCCTTTTTACTTTTTCCAAGTGCTACAGATGAAGCATGGAGGCTATTGTCAACTTACTTGGAAAGATACAAAGTCCAGAATAACTTGTATCATCACTGTGTGATTAACAAGTTGTTGTCTCATGGAGTTCCTCTGCCTAATTGGCTTATAAACAGTTACAAGGTACGTGGTATTGAGGCGGGGTGATAATTTGGGAAATGTACTGATTTACAAGCCAATTGTTGTGGCAGTACTTGAGAGGCAGAAGCAAGAGGATCAGAAGGCCTTCAAAGCCAGCCAACGTGAGTTCAGGGCCAGCCTAGGCTAAGTGAGACACTGTCAAAAGAAGTGGAAGACAAAGGAAAATTCACTAGCTTAAATGCTTTGATTCTCAATCATCTGTAACAATTTATCTTTTGTTTTGGTTTTGGTTTTGGTTTTTTTGTTTTTCGAGACAGGGTTTCTCTTTATAGCCGGGGCTGTCCTGGAACTCACTCTGTAGACCAGGCTGGCCTCGAACTCAGAAATCCGCCTGCCTCTGCCTCCCAAGTGCTGGGATTAAAGGAATGCACCACCACTGCCTGGCAATTTTATCTTAAATTTTACATATAGTACTGGGGACTAGTTTCATTGTACAGTGAGCTCATAATTTGAATAATGAGTTATTTCATGTAACTGTATCTGTTATTGCTTAAAAACTTGACAGTAGTGGATAGAATGTTTCCCAGTTAATACAGTAGTTTATCTTTGACCGAGAGGTTTATCTATTAGTCTATTGCCTGTTCCCATGAAGAGGTACCTAGACAGGTTAGCATTTTAGAGAAAGAGGCTTATTTTGCTCATGGTTTTATAAGCTAAATGTTCAAGAACATGTGGCTCATTATTTTGGCCTCCAGTAAGAATGGTCTGTGCTGCTATATTGTATTTTATTATATTGTGGTGGGAATGTACAGAGCATAATATGGTCATATCATCAGACAGGAAGCCAGAGGACAGTTCAGCCTCCACTGTCATTCATACCTGTTCACTCTCCTGAGAACCATCTTAATCTCTTCAGAGTGACAGACACCCTCCTTGAACTAAACATCCCCCGCTGGGTCCCACTTCTCAAAGGTTCCTTCCTCTCCCAGTGCTACCACACTAGGGGCTGAACTTCTAGCATATGATTCACATGTGGACTGAACAGGATCATCTGTAGCAAAATGTTTTGAATAGTAGCTTCTTTATGTCGATTCCTCAGTCTTATGTCAGACTACAGAGTCAGATTACCTGGGGCCAGGAACCAGAACCCCACATTTTGACAACCTTCTGTTTTTGTTGTTTTGTTTGTTTTGGGGGGGTTGTTTTGTTTGTTTGTTTGGTTGGTTGGTTGGTTGGTTAGTTGGTTGGTTGGTTTTTTAGACAGGGTCCCACTGTAACCCAGGCTAACCTAAAACTTACTGTAAACTAGGCTGGGCTTGAATTTACTATGTAAACCAGCTGGGCTTGAACTCAGAAATCCACCAGCTTCCACCTCCAAGTATGGGGATTAAAAGCATGCAACAACACTAAACCAAGTTGTTTTAGTGCTTCATGAGCAGTTATGAATGATGGGAGGCTGAACTGCCCTCTGGCTTCCTGTCTGCTGATAGGACCATATATGCTCTGTACATTCCCACCACAGTGCAATAGGCTATGATATACCAGCTCAGCTTCATGGGTTTATATGCTCTTTCTCATTCCAGTTTTAGTACATATGCTGCTGAGGCAAGTGCTGCTGATTTGGTTTAGATGTACATTTGTTTGAAAATAATACCTGAAGCACTTTCAGTGGAATAAGGAAAGAGAATTGGCTAGACATTTGTAATTACAGAACTTGGAAGGCTGAGGAGAGGATTACTGTGGGTTCAAGGCCAGCCTGGTCTATATATGGCAAAACCCTGTCTCAAAAAAAAAAAAAAAAAGGAAAAACAGCGGTTCCCTTGATAGAGTGCTTGCCCAGGACACACTGAGCTCAAGCACTGCACAAAGCGGATATGCTCCACATGCAGTGTCAAAGCTCAAGGTCAGCCTGAGCTACATGAAACCCTGCCATAAAAAAAGGGAGAAGAAAGTAGAGAAAAACAGCTAAAGTGGGAAAAGTAAAATTGAGATTGCATTAGAACACAGGAGGCATCCTCACTGTAATGAGTACAGCATCCTCACTGTAATAAAGTATCCATTGAGTATAGTGTCCTTACTGTAATAAAGTACAGAGGACCCAGGCATGCTAGCACATGACTTTAATCTCAGCACTTGGGCGGCAGAGCCAGGTGGATCTCTTGAGTTTGAGGCCAGCCTGGTCTACAGAGAGTTCCAGGTCAGCCAGGCTACACAGAAAAACCTTATCAAAAAAAGAAGTACACCATTCTCATTGTCTTACTGCTGTGAACAGATACCATGACCAAGGCAACTCTGGTAAGAACATTTAATTGGGCTGGCTTACAGGTTCAGAGGTTCAGTCCATTATCATCATGGTGGGAGCGTGGTGTAGGAGGAGCTGAAAGTTCTATCTTGTTCCAAAGGCAAACAGGAGAAGACTGACTTCAGGCAGCTAGGATGAGGATCTTAAAGCTAATACCCACAGCGACACACCTACTCCAATAGTGCCACACCTCCTAATAGTGCCACTCCCTGAGCCAAGCATATTCAAACCATCACACTCGTATAATAAGCATCCAAAATTGAGGATGCTTTCTATCACTTTGAGCTACATGCAGATTTAAAACTGGTGGCAGTTTTGCATTTCATTATTTCTGAGCATTAATGCATAGATCTTGTCACTTTAGTGCTCAGTGTTCCTAAGAAAACATGTTGACATTACTAGTGTGAAATTGAAGTAGGGACAAGTTAAAACCTGTCTTAGATCACAAAACAGAAGAGAAATGCCACTTAACAGACAAGTATTACAGTGTGCCTGGAAGTAACTGGGCTCATGGGAATTTACAGATCTTACCCGAAGGGACAGATGAATAAGCTCAGGTGCTCACTCACACTAAGAACCTTTTTTAAATTGCTTGTTTGGTTAGTTTGAGGCAGGACTATGTAGCTCTGCCTGCCTAGATGTGTATTTTATAAGTTGAGATACAATTGTATTGAAAAAGTTAATAGGAAAGTTGATTAATTTGTTGATGTATAGAAACAGTCAATATTTGTTTTGGTAATACATTTAGGTGTTTGTGCATTTGGTTTCTTGGATAGTTTCCAAAACATTCTAGAAAGCAACACCGTTAAGTTCTATTTCAGGTTGGGGTAGACATGCTTATAATTGTTGCTTTTTACAGAAAGTTGATGCTGCTGAGCTGCTTCGTCTTTACCTGAACTATGACCTTTTAGAAGAAGCTGTGGATTTGGTCTCTGAATATGTAGATGCTGTATTAGGAAAAGGACATCAGTACTTTGGAATTGAGGTAGATGCATATGAATGTTTCGTCTTGATTGTGTGTTATCGCACTAAGGAAGTATCTAAAATAAATTTAGTATGTTATTTATAGTAGGTATATATTTTAGTAAGTATATATTTAGTTATATAGTGAAATGTTATACAAGTGCACTGTCGTGCCGGGCAGTGGTGGTGCACGCCTTTAATCCTAGCACTTGGGAGGCAGAGGCAGGCGGATTTCTGAGTTCGAGGCCACCCTGGTCTACCCAGTGAGTTCCAGGACAGCCAAGGCTACACAGAGAAACCCTGTCTTGAAAAAAAAACAAAAAACAAAAAAACAAGTGCACTGTCGCTGTCTCTGTCTTCATACATACCAGAAGAGGGCATTGGATCCCATTACAGATAGTTGTGAGCCACCATGTGGTTGCTGGGAATTGAACTCAAGACCTCTGGAAGAGCAGTCAGTGTTCTTAACTGCTGAACCATCTCTCTAGCCCATAAGATTTATTTTTAATCGTGTGTGTGTGTGTGTGCGTGTGCGTGTGTGTGTGTGTGTGCGCGCGCGCGTGCGCCACATGCCTGTGGGTCCCTGAGGAGGCTAGAGGTCCTGGGTCCTTTGGAGTCACAGATAATGGTGAGCTGCCTGATACTACAGATGCTGGGAGTTGAGTTCAGGTTTTCTAGAAGAGTGATATATACTTTGTTGTTGTTGTTGTTGTTGTTGAAATAGTGTTTCTCTGTGTAGCCCTGGCTGGCTAGAACTCACTCTGCAGACCAAGCTGGCCTAGAACTCACAGAGACCACCTACATCTGCCTCTCTAGTGCTAAGATTAAAGGCGTGCCACCACCGGCTAGCTGCCTAGATACTCCTTTCTTTTTCTTATGTATTTTTACTTTTTTCTTTTTCTTGTCTTTTTTTAGTATAAAATATTTTATAATTTTTTTATTAAATTTTTTTTTACATTCTAAGTATTTTCCCCTTCCCAGTCCCCCCTCCCAGAGTTCTTTACCCCATCCCCTTTGCATCTGATAGGGTGCTTCCCCACCCACCTACCCACCCCTCCCTCACACACATACCCAGCACTCCCCCTTCCCTGGGGCATCAAGTATTAGGCCCATATTAGGGTTAGTTGATACTGTTGTTCTTTCTGTAGGGTTGCCATCCCCTTCAGCTCCTTCAATCCTTCCCCCAACTCTTCCATAGGAGTCTCCAACCTCAGTCCAATGCATCTATCTCAGTCAGCTGCTAGTAGACAGTCCTCGAGACCTCAGATGGGAGAGGTTCCCTGGACTCACAATGGGGATGACCTTAGCCAAAATGCCCAACAGTGGGGAAAGGAAACCTGAAGAGGCCACCTCCAGTAGATAGACAGGACCCCCAATAGAGGGATGGGGCTGCGCACCTACCTTCAATGTTTTTGACCCAGAATTGTTTCTGTCTAAAAAAAATTCAGGGGCAAAAAATGGAGCAGAGACTGAAGGAAAAGCCATCAAGTTACTTGGCCCAACTTGGGATCTATCCCATGGGCAGGCACCAAACCCTGACACTCTTTTCTTTTTTAGCATTTCTCAAGATAAGCTTTCTGTATTATGTAGCTGAGGTTGTCCTAGAACTCTAGCTATCTGTGTAGACCAGATGAGTGATGGTGTAAAGTGGTGATATGTTTAAACCAATTAAAAGAAAAAGGGAAGGGGTGTGTGTGTGTGTGTGTGTGTATGTGTGTGTGTTCATTTACACATGATTCCTATTTTTATTACATTTACTTATTTGTGTGTGTGCACACATGTGCCATAGTGTTCAAGTAGGCAGAGAACAACTTGGATTTCTTCCTTTCTTTCCACCATGTGGCCCAGGAATTGTCTTAGTCAGGGTTTCTGTTTCTGCACAAATATCATGACCAAGAAGCAAGTTGGGGAGGAAAGGGTTTATTCAGCTTACACTTCCACATTGCTGTTCATCAACAAAGGAAATCAGGACTGGAACTCAAGCAGGTCAGGAAGCAGGAGCTGATGCAGAGGCCATGGAGGGATGTTACTTACTGGCTTGCTTCCCCTGGCTTGCTCAGCTTGGTTTCTTATAGAACTCAGGACTATTACCCCAGGGATGGCACCACCCACAAGGGGCCCTCCCCCCATGATCACTAATTGAGAAAATGCCTTACAGTTGGATCTCATGGAGGCATTTCCTCAACTGAAGTTCCTTTCTCTGTGATAACTCCAGCTTGTGTCAAGTTTTCACACAAAACCAGCCAGTACAGTTACCTAGGTGGCAAGTGCCTTTGCTATCTCACAGCCCCACATACTTTCATAATGGTGGAAAGGGGGTGGAGTTTAAAGCATTTCATGTATAGAGTCCTGCAGAGACAACTACCTAGAAGAAATGGTGTCATTTTAATAAATAGACATTTTCTTTCAGTTTCCACTGTCAGCAACAGCCCCGATGGTGTGGCTTCCATACTCTTCTATTGACCAGCTTCTCCAGGCTCTGGGAGAGAACAGTGCCAACAGTCACAACATTATAGTAAGTAAACCCTCTCTACTGCCAAGCACACCCTAGAGCATGACTATCATGTCTCGAAGAGGAGAGAGAGAACAGAGTCATTTATTATAAACAAAGGTCTAAGCAACCATATCCAAAAGTATTAAGAAAGAATTATGTGGAATTACACAGAGATGTACTCATATAAATAAAATAAATACATCTTTAAGAAAGGAAAAAAAACAAAAGCAAAAAAGTGTGATTTGCATATCTAGAAAATATATTACAAAAACAGGAATGATGGTTACATATAACACAGAAGGGTCAGTTCTGTGTAAAATCTCAGAACAGACTTCTGAGCTGAATGGTAAATGGTGAAGCAGAACAGCCAACTTCTCTCATAGGTAGTCTGGTTGATGAAGCCAGAGTGATTCAGTCTTCACTGTTGTATATAATGACTTCTTTCTTTTCTCTTACAGCTGTCCCAGAAAATTCTTGACAAACTAGAAGACTACCAGCAAAAAGTCGACAAGGCAACACGAGATTTACTGTACCGTCGGGACTTGTGATCCGGATAGCTGCTCAGCCTTTGTAACCTTGGTGCCTCTTAGGGCTTAAGACTCTACAGAAACCCTGTCCTCAAGGCCAGTTTTTATACCTGTAAATGATGTGTACAGCGCCTGAGTCTGCATTCTGCACAGCATAAGAGAACAAAGTCAGGACCAACCCTGTGCTTGCTTGTGGTGCTAACATGGTTTCTGGTTTTCCAACTTCATGTCTAACAGCTGCTTTTGTATATGATTCTCAACCTTTTTCAGAGTTTATATTTTTTTAAACTGCCGAAGACATCCTTTATCTGCAAACAAAAACTCACCTTCACTTTCATTAATAGCTGATGGTTGTTGGTTTGTTACAGCTGACCACCAAATTGTCCCTACGTATCTTTTAATTTTTCCTTATCTTTTTTGTATTTCAGTGGGATTGTTTTGGTCCAGAACTAACATCTATTTTCTGTATTGCAAACAAAGGCTAGTGGTTTTACATACTCCTTTCATTATTTATTGTAGAGTTTTTCATATGACCTTCAATAAAATATTAGGTAATATGCATAGATTAAGCATAAATTATGACCAGCTTTTTAAGGAAAATATATTTTGAATCTGGCTCTAAAGCTAAAGTTGAGTAAACATCAGAAAAAAAAATTAATGTCCATCATCTATAAAAGAAACAGATTTTCATTTTCAAATTGTATTAATTTATGTGATTTATAATAATCAAGCTGGACTTGATCATACAGTTGTTAGTGTGATAATATATTGGACCAAAATGGAATTTTACTGGTCAGAATCAGAAACATTCATGCATACAAACTTTGGGGAAGGTGAAAAATAATAAAAATATCCTTTGATTTTATTCTGTATATTAAGATTTATCTTTCAAGGAAATAGTCTCTGTACTATTTGTTTGAATGAATGCCCTTTTTGACATCTGTGTTTTTTATAAACTTTAGAATTTATACTGTTAACATCAAATTTGTGTTGCATAGTTTATAGTTCTCCAATGCTTAATATGACATGCTATGGATTGGCCCTTACCCTCCCAGCTTTCTAAACTTGTGGCTTTCCACTACAACGCAAAAGGCACTGGCCTGTATTCAACCATGATCAATCGTAGTCTGAAAAATAGGAAAGCCTGTTTCTGCTGTATCTGAAGAGTGATAAGTGAGAGACTACTGGTGCTGCATCAGCAGTTCACACAGCACTGACCAGCCTTTCCTGTGCTAGCCACCATGTCAAAGCCAGTCTGGTCTTCCCTTTACTTCTACCCGTCTCATTTTGATTCCAACCAGAGCAGAAGGGCCTTATACTCGCACTACAGTTTGCTTGCCGCTGTGGATCTGTGCTTGTGTTTACTGTACCCTGTGAGGTTTTATTACTCCACAGTAATATGATCGTGTCTTGTGGGGTTTTGGGTTTTTTTTTTTTTTTTTTTTGGTTTGGTTTGGTTTGGTATGGTTTGTTTTTTTTCTGTCAGAAAGGTTAAAGGTTCTCTGAGAGTCTAGAGAAATGGCTCAGTGGTTAGGCAGGCTTGCTGTTCTTCCAAACAACCTGAATTTGTGTCCTATCCAGCTCACAATCATCTGTTAACACCAGCTCCAGGAGCTTAAACACCCTTGTCAAAACCCCACTAACACCTGCACTCATGTACACACAGAAACACATAGTTTAAAATAATATAAAAATCGTTGTTGTTGGTTTAAAGGTTCTGTTTGGCTAGGGGTATGTAGCTCACTGATGGAGCATTTGCTTAGCAGATCCAAGGCCCTCAATCCCCAACACCAGAAGGTATAATATAGTAAAATGTAACTGCAATGGCCATAACAGATGTCCTCTCTGATATACTGGATATGGTAGGGCTGGGTGCCAAGGCCTCTGTTTGATCCCCAGTACCACAAAGGAAGACGGAAAATGATAGTAACACTGAGTTGTCTTATTGATATTTTGTTTTTGTTTTTTTGTTTTTTTGTTTTTCGAGACAGGGTTTCTCTGTGTAGCCCTGGCTGTCCTGGAACTTACTCTGTAGACCAGGCTGGCCTCGAACTCAGAAATCCACCTGCCTCTGCCTCCCAAGTGCTGGGATTAAAGGCATGTGCCACCACCGCCCGGCTTTGTTTTTTGTTTTTTGTTTTTTGTTTTGTTTTTTTGTTTTGTGATAATTTTTACCAGATATATTAGTGTCATTATTGTAATATTGCAAAATTTGCTATACAAATTTTATATAGAGTATACAAACACACTATTTTAATAATTTCTTTCCTTTGCCAGCCCACCTCACTGGATCCTAGCTGCCTAAAACCCTTGTCTGCCAGGACAAGTGGTACACACCTTTAATCCTAGCACTAGGGAGGCAGAGGCAGGAGGACCTCTGTGAGTCTGAGACTACCCTGTTGTACATAGTGAGTTCCAAGACAGCCAGGGCTATGTACAGAGACCCTGACTCGGGAAAAAAAAAAGAAAGAAAGAATGAAAGAAAGGAAGGAAGGAAGGAAGGAAGGAAGGAAGGAAGGAAGGAAGGAAGGAAGGAAGAAAGGAAAAGAAAGAAAGAAAAGGAAAGAAAAAAAGAACCCTTGGGTCAGTTGTCACCAGTTCAGTACCAGCCTTTGTCCCTTTTATGACTCCCTCTAGTTAGCTATTCAGTACTTCTCAAAGTCCTGGCTATTTTGTTTCCTAAAACTTCACTGAACATGTAGGGTAAAGAAATGTCCAAAAAAAAGAGAAAACAAGGAAAATTACAGGTTTGGAGAGATGGCTCAGCTCTTAAGAGTACAAGAGTTCACTTCTCAGAACCACCAGGGGATCTAAAGCCTTCTGGTCTCCTGAAGCACCTGTGTATGTAGGACAGAGGCAGAGACAGGTGGCTCCCTGTGAGTCTGAGGCCAGCCTGATCTACATAGTGATACCATTTCAAACAACAGCAATTCTGCTTGAATGTCCTCTTGCCTCTGCCTATAAAGTATTAGAATTAGTTATAAACCACCACACTTAGTTTACCCAGGTCTCTGTATACTATAGCCAAGCACTCTACCTACTGAGCTGCATCCCAAGCTCCACTTGAAGGCCTCAATGGGCTATTTGAGATTATAGAGTCAAGTGACATCCTGTTCTATGAAACATGCTGTAGGGCAAGAGAGAGTTCTGTCAGTAAAGTGTCAGCTTGGCAACCTGATACTGGGAGTCCAATCTCCCAGAACCCAGATTTTAAAAAGCCAGACATGGTCATATATGCTTGTAATGCCCATGCTGGCGGGGAGAGACAAGGATCCCTGTAGTGCTGGCCAGCCAGGCTAGCCTACTCCAAAAGATCCAGACCAGGAGAGATCCTGACTCAAAAACAAAACAAGAACAGCTCCTGCAAAATGACACCTGAGACTTGAGCTTGACCTCTGGCTACCACATACATGTACACCCACACATGAGAGAAACACACAACAATACATGTTGTGGGCTTGAGTGTTGTGGGCTGGAGAGATGGCTCAGAGGTCGAGAGCACTGGCTGCTCTTCCAGAGGTCCTGAATTCAATTCCCAGCAACTACATGGTGGCTCACAACCATCTATAATGAGATTTGACTCCCTCTTCTGGCATGCAGGCAGAACACTGTGTACATAATAAAAAAAAAAAAAAAAAAAACTTTAAATAAAAATATGTGTGTTGTGTTGGGCTAAGTGGATGCTAATTTTTAACAGAGAGGGGCTCAGCAAGATGACTCAGTGGGAAAAGGTACTTTCTGCCAAGCACAGTGACCTGAGTTTGATCTCCAGGACCCACAAAGCGAAAGAGAACCAACTCCTGCAAGTTGTCCTCTGACCTCAACGCATGAGACACATACATAACTCATACACAAAAAAATAAGTCTAAAAATAAATGTGAAAAGCAATTTGTGCTAGGCAATGGTGGTGGCATATTTCTTTAATTCCCGCACTCAGGAGGCAGAGGTAGGTGGATTTCTGTGAGAGGCCAGCCTGGTCTTCAGAACAAGTTTCAGGACAGCCAGAGAGCTACACAGACAGCTTGTCTTGGAAAAAAGAAAAAAAAAAAAAAAGAAAGCAAAAGAAACTGTCTTGTTGAAGTTAGCTATCTCTGGGTTTCCTTTAAAGTCAATAACTTTGTTTGAGATTAGTGATGTGGAACACTAAAGCTAAGTGACTGATTTTGGTCAGACAGGAGCTAAAGCCAAAGTAAGTGTAAATCCTACTGGTCAGTAATCTGCAGCACAGCAAAACTAGGGGAGAAGAGAGTGGCATCCAGGAGATGAGCAGAATCTCCTCACTTAGTCCTCAGACTATGGCAAACACTTACACTCCTCAAATGAATATGGATGGGATTTATATTTAAATTTTTAAAAAAGTCTACCCTTGAACACAATATGGATAAGATACTTTAATCTGATACATTTTCCATTAGCAAATAGTTTTTATTACAACAATTTCTAAATTTATGAGTATTTTTTCTGAATGTATTTATGTCCATCATGTGTGTCTCTGGTGACCATGGGGCTAGAGAAGGGAGCATCAGAATCCCTGAAACTGGAATTACAGGTGGTGGTGAGCCCCCAGTGTGTGCTGGGAACCAAACCTGGGTCTTCTGCAAGAGCTTTCAATCCGAGCCATCTCTGCAGTCCTGTCATAGAAACTTCTAAAGTGTCCTTTAATCCTCCCTGGTTTTCTTAATCATAATACCTAAAACCATAGATATTCCTGTATTACTGGGTTCTCTATACACCCCTGGGAATGAGATACTGGAGTATATAAATAACTAACCTCTCATTGTGTCTACTCAGAACTCTGTAAGTAAAGAGCCAGGGTATTGTGCAAATGACCTATGATTTGAATATAGCTATTTCTTTAAATAAACCAGGCTTCGTGGTTTATATGAACCTCCATAAAACATGCAAAGTCAAATAATGTGGCATTATAAATAATCTGGGCTTTGTTTTTGGTTCCTGGCCTAGAACTTCAAAACCTTTGAAATTTCCTGAGCTGTGGGAATTTGTTTAACAAGTTGAGTCTTGGTAAGTTCCTAACTAGCTTCTGAAATAGAGCTGCTCACCAGAAGACAACCACAAGATTAGAGGGTTGGAACTTTGAACCTGCCCAACTTCCTGAGAGGAATAAGAGAGCTGAGGCCTGAGTCCAGTCTTGTGGCCAGCAAATTGACCAATCATGCCTTTGAAATCAAATTCCTTAAAAAAGGAATCATCAGGCTGGAGCTTCCTACATGATAAACTAGGAGATCAAGACTGGCTACAGAGGGAGGCTGAATGTAAGCCATAATCCCCTCCACCTCATCTTCCCCTGCGTCTCACTCTACTTAGTACCTTTATGATAACACTGAAGTGATAAGTATAGAACTTCTCTGAGCTCTACTAGTAGTTGTAGTGAATTATGGAAAGGAGGCATAGGGAGGTGACACATTTATAGCCGGTCAAGTGCAGGTGTTCCTAAAATCTGAGCCTCTAAACCTGTGGAGTCTGGTGCTAATTCCAAGTGTCCAGAATTGAGTTGTACCAAAGTATACCTACTTTGAGGTGAAACAATAAACAATTACACTTAGCTAAATCAAAACGTAACCCTACCCTACTGAATTGGCTTTTCTGTGGCTTGTCATCTCTGCAGGTGAAGTTCCAAAAACCAAAGATTGTGAATAGATCCAGGAAGCTTAGCTTTTAAAATTACCAAATAGTAAAAACCACCTACCAAATGAATGTGACTAAATATATTTGAAAATGTTTGCTTAAAGACAATACAAGAATGAGAAATGGTTCAATAGAACTGTGTTGAATGCAGCGGGGCCCTGTGGCATGCACCTTTAATCCCAGTACTCAGAAGACAGAGCTCTGAGTTGGAAGCATGACTGGTCTACAAAGTGAGTCCCACCAGGGACAGCCAGGGCAGAAAAACTTTGTCTCAACAAAAACAAAACATGTATTGCTCTTACAAGGACCTAAATTTGGTTCCTAGCACCCAGGATAGGAACTGCCTGTAACTCCAGAATGTGATGCCTCTGGACTCCAAGGGCACTTCCATACAGGAGTATGTGCACATGCACGCACATACATACATATACAGAAACACACACACACACACACTGAAAAGTAGGAAAAATTCAGACAATGCTCGTCATGTTTTTAGTTTTTAATTGCGTACTGAGTAATGACTTTTCCATACGTTTTGCATTTTGTTAATCCTCTTTCCTTCCCATCACCTCCCCCTAGCCTCATTGTCTGCCTCTCCTCCCTTAGTAACCCTCTTCAGCCTTCACCTCACTTATATCCTACTGGCCTCTTCCTATCCCCACATTAAGACCTCTGTCTACGTTCACGGTCCCCTTTCTAGTGTCATGATCTACACACACACACACACACACACACACACACACACGTACTTCTTTTTAAATATTATTAATGTATATGAGTATACTGTTGCTGTCTTCAGACACACCAGAAGAAGGCATCAGATCCCATTACAGATGGTTGTGAGATACCATGTGGTTGCTGGGAATTGAACTCAGGACCTCTGGAAGAGCAGTCAGTGCTCTTAACTGCTGAGCCATCTCTCCAGCCTCATACATGTAATTTTTAAAAGAAAAAATAGACTCTTACTGTGTATTGCAGGCTGACCTTGATTTTTTGTTTGTTTGTTTGTTTGGTTGGTTGGTTGGTTGGTTGGTTGGTTTTTGGTTTTTTGAGACAAGGTTTCTCTGCATAGCCCTGGCTGTCCTGGAACTCACTCTGTAGACCAGGCTGGCCTCGAACTCAGAAATCTGCCTTCCTCTGCCTCCCAAGTGCTGGGCATGCACCACCACTGCCCGGTGCAGCAGGCTGACCTTGAACTCCAAGGATCCCTGGATGTAGTACATTTTTATTAAAAAAAAAAAAAAGCCAGAATTTCACTAAACATTTGCCATATTTTACTGCCACTCTTCCCAAGAAATAAATCAGAAACTTACTAACAATTTCAAAATAGTTAATTATCCTTTTCTTCTATTATTTTTTTCTACAAATATTAGGAGCACAAATCTCAGAATACTTTAATAATCTAGATTGTTCATCCATAGGTAAGAAAACAATCTTCTAGTTTACTTCAAGTTTGTATATGTTCATTCATCTATACAAGTTTTTGTATTTTAAGATATTTACTGATTGTTTCTCATGTTCCAGAAAGTATGCTTGATTGACACAGGAAACAAATGAATAAAAAAATTGAGTCACTATTCTTGTGGATTTTTCACTCAACAACCATTAGCAGGTGAACCCAAAATTGAGCTATTTACCCTGTAAGGTTATTAGAATCAAATACAAACCTGCATTTAAAGTTATTAGTTATTAATACATAGTTACACAGCAAATAATAAATGGTAGATATTTTTAGTGTGCTTGGTTAGTTTGCAACTAAACTTCTGTGGCTATAAGAAAATACTCCACCAGTTATTTCTGAAACTTTAGAGGGAGCTGGGTATCCACACTACTGTCAAGTATCAAGAGGGCCTTGACAGTGAAGAACAAAGATACTCAGTGCTCAAGAAGGTCTTGTCTGCACTGGGCCTTAGCGGAATGAATTTTGTTGTGTGATGCAGTTGTTTCTGCAACTAAAGGATGGATTTAAGATGAGAACAATGGATGGGAAGTTGAGTCAAAAGCCATCTTCAGAAAGGACAAAGGTCTAAGTATCGATAGAGGGGCCACAATTCTCTGTTCTCATGACTCAAGTTACTTTTATTGACCTGAAAACATCTACTTATACAGATCAAAAATTTAGTAGGCTTCCTATTGCACTTGTGGGAACACCATGATTCATGTAGATCTATGGTGAATGCCATAAACCTCCATGGACTCAGTCTACTGGTTGTATTCTGTGCTATTACCACATCTGTATCCATGCCTATGTTGAGTGTTTCCATTCAGCCCCTGCCATCCCAGGATCCATTTTTTATTTTTTAGCTTTCCAAGTAAGTTGCTGTATCTCCTCTGTAATGTCTGGCCTACAAAGAAGGTGCTCTTCAGTGATGCTGGGGCTGTTGAAAATCTATTGTATTTCGCAAAATTCTGATGATGGTATTGCTTCTCAAGTCTCCTAGTGTACATAGGTTTATTTTTATTTTGTGTGTACATGTTTCAAATGCATGTATGTATGCATACCACAAGCATAGTTGGTGCCAAAGGCCAGAAGAGGGAAATAGATCTCCTGGAACGGGTGTTATAGTCATGAATCACCATGTGGATACTGGGAATTGAAGATCCTCAGGAAGGTCAGCCAGTGCTCTTAACCACTGAGCCATCTCTCTAACCCCAGATTTTGTTGTTTTTGTTTTGAGACAGGGTCTGACTATGTAGCCCTAACTCTAGTGGAACTCAGAGATCCACTTGCCTGGCCTATTATTCTCTCTTTCATACCTGTTCCTATACATCTTCCCCGGATTTCTGCTTGTATTGTTATTTTATTGTTATCTTTGAGACTAGGTCTCACTTTATAAGCTCTGGTATTATACATACCTGGCTGGACTCACTTGTAGTAATCCTCCTGCCTCTGTCTTCACTGAGATTATAGACATGAACCATGACAACTAGTTCTCCTAGTACTAACAGAACCCTTTAGTAGCTCTCTAGGAGTACAGTGCACCACCTTTTAGACATTTATCTCTCACCTTCTGGCCCACTGTCATTAGTCTAGAAGCAACCAAGGATGGATGGAAGGAGTGAGTTCTGGAGAAAATCAGCATTATCTTGCTTAGCAAGATATCTCTGGGGAGAACATTAATGACTCAGGATGTCACCTGCCTCTAGGGATGGGGAAGTCTCTTCTACAAGCAAATAGACTCAATAAAATAAACAGCCTCGAGGTCTTTCCTCTAGCTACAAATGGAGGAGTTGGAGGTAGGGCAGAAGTAGGATGAGGTAAAGCTTCTGTATCCCATAGGAACAGTTGGGCCTTTTACAAGGTCCAGTCATTTTCCCTACTAATCGCGTCCTATTTTAAGAGCCTACAGATGTATAAACACCCAGTATCATCATTGTTTAATACTATATCCAAAAGAAGCTACAATAACCAAGAGAACTTGCAGAAGGGTGCAATGTATCTTTATCTTCCTAAATGACAAACAGCAATAAGCAGCTGAAAATAGCTACAAGATGGCGGACAAAGCCCTTAAGAAAAGACTTGGCTACCAGCGCACGGCCGATACCCAATCTAAGGAAGTCGTACAAACTGGGGGTCCTTCCGCACTATTGGCTCGACGTCCTGTCTTTTCCCTTTTTTTATTGGCTACCGATTCCTTCTCGAGTCAAAACAGCCAATCGCCTTTTCCCTGAACAAAGCCCACCCATCTTGGATGAAGCAGAATGTCCGTAATGGCACCCGGGCTCAGGCCGCATGCGCAAGTGCACCGCGCCGGTTAAAAGCGGATCTTCTCGGGAGGCGGTGCCGCGGTTCATGAATATTGATTACGCACCGGGGCGCCGTGCGCCCGCCCCTCTAGTCTGCCGTCGTTCGCTGCTCGCGCTCGGGCTCGTGATGGGGAAAAAGTCCCGGGCGGTACCCGGCCGCAGGCCTATCCTGCAGCTCTCTCCACCAGGTCCTCGGAGCAGCACCCCGGGCCGGGATCCCGACCCCGATCCGGATCCCGAGGCAGATTCGACGGCGGCGGCGGCGACTAGCCAGTCAGCCCCGGCAGCTGCGACGGCGGCGTCCTCGACGTCACCCGCGGTGCCTGCCACCGCTGCCCCAGAGGACTCGCCTTCTGAAGGTAAGGGCGCGCGAGAGGGGCCCTTCCTTTATTTGGGACGTCTGAAACTCGAGCACGGGGCTTGCGGCCTAGGCTCCCAGGTGTCTCCTCGGACTCGGTGAAGAAGAGTGACCCTGGGGGCGAGGTACACCTGGGCTGCCTGGGATCCGGGGCCCGCGGGACGGCGGCCGTGGACTCTGGGCGGCGGAAGGCCGGGCCTGGGCTCATCTGAGGCGCCATTGCGGTGCAGGGGTTTCTCCCTGGAACCTGAGCAATCCACAGAGGCTTGGGACCCCAAATGTCTTCTAGATGACCCCCTTCGATCTTAATAACGCAGAAGGTGGAGGGCAATTTCCACGTGCGAGCCTTGAGGCGGTTGAACCTGGCCTCCGCTTCTCACACTTGGTTTCGTTTTTGTTGAAATGGAGACACCACTCTTTAGAAGTGAACAAACCCTTGTTTTTTCTTATGCCAGACAAAGCATCGGTAACCCCAGATTTACGGGAAAGTGACAACCTGTGGGCTTTCCTGGAACAGTGTTTGGGTTTAGAGTAACAATTACAGGGAGTAGATGCCGGAGAAGCTATACCATATCAAGTATTAAGAAATCAAGTTAATAGGAAGTACACAATGTGTGGAAACATGAAGATGTATTTATGCATGTTAATTGTTAAGTATTGCAGGTGCCATTTTCATAGTGTTCACATTCCTACGGTCGATATAACTAAATGAATGGAAGATTCTAGATCAGCTTGTTTTTCATCCCCTTAGTTTGTATTAGTGATTCACACTAGTTTTATTAGTTGATGGGATCTAGTCCTGAAAGGTCAAGTTTTAGTTTTTCTCTCTCGTTTTTCACTGGTCCAACTGACTAACCGTATTTTCTTTTTGTGCAATTCAAATACAGATGAACAGGAAGTGGTGGTGGAGGTCCCCAGCGTTGTTCAGAATCCTCCCAAACCAGTCATGACCACCAGACCCACAGCCGTTAAGGCAACAGGTATAGATTTTTGTTGTTTTACCTTTTCCTTAAAATATCTTGTATTGAGTTAAAAGATAAAGGTGTGTACCTGGGTTGTTGGATGATTAGATGTTGCTAATTTATTATGTCTCATAAAAAGTGAAGTTTTTCTAGGATTGGGGTTGCATATCATTGGTAAGATGCAAAGCTCTGGGTTCCACTCTTGGCTTACAAAAATGAATTAACAAGAATCTTTCCTAAAGTCTTGCTGTATACAAACTTTACCATGAAAGTTTATTTATTTTTGGTTTATTTACAGCTATACCTAAAATTTGTGTGTGCCAGCCAGTGTGTTCGTGTCTGTGTTCACATACACATTCACATGCACAGACACACAAGCTTACATTCTTTTAAGGCTGCACCACATAACTTGCTTATCTATTTTCTGAGAGTGTCTCAAGTGAGCCTGAGCCTTAACTTAACCCTAGATGGGCTGCACAAAGAACTATTCTTACCCAGTCTGCCTGTCTTGCCCACTCCACTTCACCCCCAGCACTGTGCTTTCAGACAAGTGTGCTTCATCCTCTGTCGAAACATGGTTATAAGGGCTTCAAATGCAAGTCCTTAAGCATTTTACAAACCGAGTCATCTCCCTGCTGGCTTTTTGGTCCTTTTGTGTTTTTAGGAGCACCAATTAAACTTTACTTTTCGTTTGACCCTTTCATTATTTCTTTTTTCCTCCGGTGACTCATGGTCCAGGCTGTCCTAGAACCTTCTGTATAGCTAAGGTTAGCCTTTAACCATTGATAACTCCTGCCTTTGCCGCCCAAGTACTGTGATTGCAGATGTGCTCCACTACACCCAGCTCACTTAACACACTGCCTGGTAATCAAATATTGATGAAGCTGAAAATTCCTCTTAGGTATGCCTGACTCTAGTCCACTCTGCTGAAATATTTGCAGCAGTGATTGTCTTGGCAAGCCTGAATTCAGATCATCACTCTGACTTTTACTCTGAGACTTCAGGATAGTTATTGGGCTGAAACTTATTCTATAAATGGATCTACTATAGTCCTGAGTTGCTTGGGGATTAAATTTTATATATTTGAAATTATGTAGAGAGGGAGGAAAGAGAAAATTTTGACATTGGAAAAGCAAGAATTTTTCTGCATTTTATTTTTTTTCTGCATTTTATATGTATTGAAGATTAAAGTTTTTTTAAGACTTATTTTCTGTTTAAGACTCATTCTCTATTTTTTTAAATATTCTTCTGAATCACAATGTTGTGGTTTTTTGGTTTTTAAGATTTATTTATTATGTATACAGTGTTCTGCCTCCATGCCAGGGGAGGACACCAAATCTCATTAGAGATAGTTATGAACCATCATGTGGTTGCTGGGAATTGAACTCAGGGCCTCTGGAAGAGCAGCCAGTGCTCTTAACCACTGAGCTCTCTCCAGCCCCAGTGATTTTTATTTTTATTTATAGGTCTGTGTTTTTCTGAGTGTGTGTTGTGTGTGGAAGCCTGAGGAGGTCGAAAGAGGACGTTAGAGCCCTGAAGCTGGAGGTACAGGTGGCTGACCTCCCCAGAAATAGAGTGATTTTACTCTTAGTCTAAAATACTTGTAATTTTAGTCATTTTATTCTTGGTGTAAAATGTTTGTTTTGAGAGAGACTTTTCACTTGCTCACCCTAGCTGGCCTCAAGCAGGGCTCTTCCTGTCTTTGCCTTCCAAGTGCTAGGATTTAAGGCCACAATGTCCAGTCCAGTTATATTTGCCTTAGTGCGTTCATGGAACTTTCCATTTGAGGAATAATCATTACTTACTCTTTGTTTTTACTTAGAAAATGTGTTTCAGCTGCTGTATTTTGATTGGCTTAGGTGTGTGAGTTGTTTTAATTTTTGAGACAGGGCTACCATTTGTAGTTTAGTCTGTCCTAGAAGTCACTAGTAGTCCTTCCTTGACCATACAGTAGAGTCCTGCTTTAGCCTTCTAAGTGCTGGAATTGAAGCCATGTTCAATACCTAGATTGAATAAATATTTAATGAACAAATTCTGTTCTTTTGAGAGAATGCAGTTCAGTGATCCATGGTATATTTTGGGGGAAGATATCAAGTATATGTAATTTTACTACTTTGAAGGATTTGGTGGGGATAGAAACAGTCAGCATCTTAGTGTTTTATTGCTGTGGCGGTCACCATGACCAAGGCAGCTCTTACTAAGGAAACCATTTAATTGGGGGCTGGCTTATAGTTTCAGAGGTTCATTATGGCAGGAAACATGGCAGCACACAGGCACACACAGTGTTGGAAGAAGAGCTGAAAGTTCTACATGATGATCTAAAGGAGCCAGGAGAAGACTTACTTTTCACAGGCATCTAGGAAGAGGCTTTGCATCACACTGGCCAGATTTGAGCATATGTATGAGACCTCAAAGCCCTGCCTCAACAGTGACACACTTCTTCTACAAGGCCACACCTCCTATCAGTGCCTCTTCCCATGGGCCGAGCATATTCAAACTGCCACAAACAGGGCTATATTATGTAGTTCTGGCTGGCCTGGAACTTGCTATGTAGTCCAGGCTGACTTTGAATCAAGTGCTAGGATTAAAGACAAGTGCCACCCACCAGGCCTGACTACTGGAAGGATATTATATCATTTTATATCTGTGGTAGTTATGGCATTCTTTGTAGTTTTGGTATATTATTTATTTTTTGAGAATTTCATACATGAATACATTGTATTTCTGTTATTTACATACCTCCTTCCCCCTTTTTGTGTATTGTCTTGTTTTTGAGGCAGGGTCTCACTGTACAGCCTTGGCTGTTCAAGAACTTAGGTAGACCAGGCTGTCCTTGAGCTCAGTGTTCCTGGGATTAAAGGCATGGGTCATCCTGCCAGGGTTTTATGATCATCTTGCCTTAATGGCCTTAGTACTGAGAATATATGCTTGTGCCACCATGCTCAGCGTTGTTGTGTACGTGCGTGCATGCATCTGTGTGTGTGTGTGTGTGTTTATGATTGAATCTAGGATCTTCCGTACACTAAGTACATACATATTTTTCAACTATTAATCTTATTAATCCTAATTTAGTGTTTATTCTGACTTTGGAATTAAGTTCTAATTTGTAGACAAACAAAATGTTAACTCTTTGATTACAGAACCATGTGTTGGGTGGTTAAAAACATTGGCTATTGGCTGTTCTTTGAAATAATTTGGGTTTGATTTCCAGTACCCACATAGTAGCTCACAACTGTCTGAGACTCCAGTTTTTCAGGTGATCTAATGCCCTCTCTGACTCTGAGGCACCAGGCATGCATGTAATGTAGCTGAAATATCGGTGCATATAATAAAACAACTTTTAAAAAAATAGGAACCATGTGTTTTGCATAGTCGTGGCATGAGAACCAGAGTTGGGATATTGTGTAAATTGGGTTGGTGTGATAACCTGCATATATGCATACCACACCTAATAAATTAAAAGGAACTGGACAGTGGGGGCCCACGGCTTTAATCCCAGCACTTGGGAGGCAGAGGCAGGCGGATTTCTGAGTTTGAGGCTACCCTGGTCTACAGAGTGAGTTCCAGGACAGCCAGGGCTATACAGAGAAACTCTGTCTCAATAAATAAATAAATAAATAAATAAATAAGTATTTTTTAAAAAGCTGTGGTCTTTCTTTTCTCTAGCCCCAGTGTATTTGTTTAAACACTTCCCCCAGTCCGTTGGTGTTACAATTGTCTCGCTTTGTTTCTAGGAGGGCTGTGCTTACTTGGTGCTTATGCTGACAGTGACGATGACGAGAGTGATGTGTCTGAAAAAACAGCCCAATCCAAAGAGGCAAATGGAAACCAGGCCACTGACATCGACAGCACACTCGCCAACTTCTTAGCGGTTAGTGATGCTTTTGTGTGTGTTTGTTTTGAAATAGTATTTTTGTAGCTCTGGCTAACCTGGAGGTATTAGTTACCCCAGTACCTTGCCACACACATCCAGGGATTACAACATTACCAAGCTGGTCTTGAACTTAGTCTGTCTTCTGCTTCTGCCTCCCAAAGGCTAAGATTTCAGGTGTAAGCACCACACCCAGTTACTTATTGTTATTTTCATTCCATAGGAGATAGATGCCATAACAGCACCTCAGCCTGCAGCTCCTGTGGTAGCTTCTGCTCCACCTCCAACTCCACCTCGACCAGAACCAAAAGAAGCAGCAACACCTGCCCTTTCTTCTACCGCATCAAATGGAACAGACACTTCCCAGACACCAGGGTGGCATTATGACACTCAGTGTTCATTGGCAGGAGGTAAATAAGTATGGCCTCTATTTGAAGAAAACTTTTAACTAATCCTCACTGGGTTCCTAAGAGCTGGCCTTCCTAAAGGTGAAGCCAGATGCTTTAGCTCTAAGACCCAGATCTGGCTTTTTAATGTAGTATCTGGAAGCTAGTCGGCAGAATGATGATCTTTTAACCAGAAGCAGATTTGAGTGTCAAGAGTGCTTTTAACTGTGAACACAAAGGGGATGAAATCTTTGTTGAAGTGTTTTTGGTTTTTTGGGGTTTTTTTGTTTTGTTTTGTTTTGTTTTGTTTTGTTTTTGGTGTGGAAGGGTTGTTCACGGGATACTTAGTAATATCTGAAGGTGTTTTTTGAGTGTTTCAGTGCAGAGGAGTTTTTCTTCAGTGGTAATGGCTAGGGGTGTTGCTAAACACTGACACAGATTGGAGAACCCTGTGTTAGATTGTCATGGTTTTATGTCTGTCTTGGGATAGAAGTTAGGACTGACTATGTAAGTCAGAGTTTATACTTAAAACGTTTTGTTTCCTTACAGTTGAAATTGAGATGGGAGATTGGCAAGAAGTCTGGGATGAGAACACAGGTTGCTATTATTATTGGAACACACAAACAAATGAAGTAACTTGGGAGTTACCCCAATACCTTGCCACACAGGTGCAGGGATTACAACATTACCAGCCCAGGTAATTCTAGACCTCAGGAAGAAATTATATGGGGGGAAAATGAAGGGAAAATAGCTGTCCTGAGTATTTACCTTTTGTTTATCTTAACACCCCACCCCCAGTTCTGTAACAGGGACTGAGGCAGCTTTTGTGGTAAATACAGACATATATACAAAGGAGAAAATGATTCCTGCTTCCAGTAATAAAAGTGTACCGGTCATCGCTAAACGAGAAGTTAAAAAGGTTAGTATTATAACTTACTGCCGTTGATTATTTTCCAGTCTGAGAAGCTAGATATAATAGTATTTCACAGCACATGTGTTGTTAGTTTTACCTACTCTGTTTCTGTGTCAGCATTTATACAAGTTACCAACCGTTTCAGTGATTCAGTTTCCCCATTAGTTTCTGCTTGATCAGCATTTTTTAAGCTTTGGACTTTGCATAGTAAATATCCTGTATATCAGATACTTACATTATGATTTATAACAGTAGCAAAATTGCAGATACAAAGTAGCAACAAAATAATAGTTGGGGGTCACCACAACATGAGGAAGTGTATTAAAGGGTTACACCATTAGGAAGCTTGAGAACAACTAGTGGATGGTTGTAAGCTCCTGATTTGATGATGTTATCTTTGCTCTTAATCAGGCTACTCCAGTTGTCTGTGCTGTATGTTGTAGACCTATGTTTGAAAGTGTTTTATTATCTATCTGATGCTTCTGTTCTTCATTTGCTATTTTTTTATGACTTATTTTTTATTTTTACTTTTATGTGCATTGGTGTTTTCCCTGCATGTCTGTCTGTGTAAGGGTGTTGGGTCTCCTCTGGAAATGAAGTTACAAACAGCTGGGAGCTGCCAGTGCTCTTAACCACTGAGCTATCTTTCCAGCCCCTATTTGCTATTCATTTACTTGCTTATTATGGAGTTAAACGTGGCCATCGTAGATCATTCAACAGAATGTATAGAACATAGCTAAGATTACAAGGTATCAGACTCCCATTCTTACTTGAGTCAGAAGTAATTATCTTGCTTTGGATTTCCTTTTAAGAACCACCCATAGCCCCCCAGGACAAGATATATCTAAAATAAAAGGACAACTATCTTAAATCAGGTGCAGTAGCATACACCTGCAATCTCAGTATGCAGGTGCTAGAGGCAAGAAGATCTCAAGTATATAGACAAGCCTGAATTACATAGCAAGACAAGTGTGTGTGCTGATGGGATGCCCTTTTTTTAACAATTAAAACTGGAAAAAGAACTGAGCAAGTGGTTAAGAACTCACGCTACTCTTCTAGATAATCAGCACCCACCTTGGGAGGCTCATAACCACCTCTACTCCTGTACTCCAGCTCGGGGGGATCAGAGTCCTCTGGCCTCTGTGGGCACCTGCGTTTACACACACACACACACACACACACACACACACACACACACACAAAACATAAAATTAAAAATAAAGTTTAAGAAAAACTATGAACTGCCTCAGATTAAGTAGCCCTTAACCAAAATATTTTGGATTTGGGGTTTTAGATTTTGGAGTAATAGCATGTATATAAACTTCTTGTGGATAGGCCCAAAGTCTGAACACAATTCATTTGTAGTTCATATATACATGACCTAAAGGTCATTTCATGTATTGTTTTGTTTTGTTTTTATATTTATTTGTTGGGGCTTGTCATGGTTGCCAGAGTGAAAGTCAAACAGAGGAAGACTTGTGATGTCTGATAACATATTAGTTTTTCTGCCATGTAAGCTCTGGTCAGACTCCGTCATCAGACTTTTCTCCATTTTTGAGGCAGGGTCTCACTTTGTAGTCTTGATCACACCCAGCTTGTCAGACTTTTTGGCAGTGCATTTTTCCACTGACACCTCTCACAGGCCTTCATATAAGATTTTATTTAAACTTCCTTCCTTCATTAGTTCATTCATTTATGTATTGGAGACATACATTTATTTATAGATTGATTTATTGATTTATTTATTTGAGATAAGATCTCACTATGTAGACCAGAGTAGGGTCCCCCATTCTGCCTCTGCTTCACAGTGCTAAGATTAAAGAGAATACACTACTATATTTCACCTGACCTACATATTTTGTTTTGTTTTGTTTTGTTATTTATTTTTTTTTTTTCGAGACAAGGTTTCTCTGTGTAGTCCTGGCTGTCCTAGAACTCACTCTGTAGACCAGGCTGGCCTTGAACTCAGAAATCTGCCTGCCTCTGCCTCCCAAGTGCTGGGATTAAAGGCGTGTGCCACCACTGCCCGGCCTGACCTACATTTTTACTTTTTTACCTACATTTTTTACAGTATCCTATCACTCAAAAAGTTGTTTTGGTATAATTTTTTTATTTCTGAATAGAGCTATTCAACCCATACTAGTGAAAGGTAAGCATTTCTTTAATCTCTCCATTAAGAAAAGTAAATAGCATTTTTTTCAGACAATTATGAATTGTGTATTGAATTACAACTTAATCTTGATTTTCAGAGTGAATATACCACCCATCTCTACCCTAAATGCCCCAGCACTTAGGCTCCTACTAGGCATGTTATGCAGTAGCTGTATTACTAATTGTGTCCTTAATCTCCAAAGTACAAACTTCAAAGACATCCTTTGCTCTATGCCAAATTTGAGACCAGACCAGCTTGGGTTACATGAGACCACCCCTCCCCTCCATTTTTTGTGATCTTTACATTTCTAGAAAGCTTAAGTATTCCATTAGATGAAATTTCAAACATACACACAAACACACACACACACACGTATATATGCATATATGTGTGTCAAAATCATTGATATATATGTGTGTGTGTGTGTGTGTGTGTGTGTGTGTGTACATGGGGTTTTTTGTTTGTTTTATGAGATGTTTCTCTGTGTAGCCCTGATTGTCCTAGAACTCACTTTCTAGCTTAGACCAGGCTAGCCTCAAATTCAAAAGAGATCTACCTGTCTCTGCCTCCCACATACTGGGAACAAAGACGTGTGCCACCACTACCTACCAATTTAAATATATTAATTAAACATTTTTGTTTCATTTTGTTTTTGAGATTGTATCATATAGCCCAGGCTGCCCTCAAACTGCATAATGAAGGGTGAGTTCTGTAGTCTTCACTCTTCTGGCTCACAGATGGGTGACATTTAAGCTTGCACTTTCGTGGCCATCTCACATTTTATTTTCCTCTAAGTTCCCTTTGAAACATGAACTTTAAGGCTGGAGAGATGGCTCAGTGGTTAAGAGTACTGACTGTACTTCCAGAGGTCCTGAGTTCAATTCCCAGCAACCACATGGTGGTTCACAGCCATCAGTAATGAGATCTGATGCCCTCTTCTGGTGTGTCTGGAGACAGTACAGTGTACACATATAAATAAAATAAATCTTGTTAATCACTCTTATAGAAGAGGAAGATTTATCTAGTCATGTGTTGACAGAATGCTTATATCACATCTGCCTCTGCTTCCTCCTAGCTTCCCTTTTGATATCCAGAGGATAGTAGGTTGTAGTTCAAACAGTCTTCCTAAAGTAATGTTTGCTTTGTGTACATGTAAAGGGTACAGGTGTTTTGTGAGCATCCAGTAATTAAGAAATTAGTTCATACAAATAATCGAATAATCCAAGAGGGGTTTTTTGGTTTGTTGTTGTTTTGATTGATTGTTTTGAGAGAGTTGTGACTCAATGCTTTTATTCTTCATAGGAACTGAATGAAGGAATCCAAGCTCTTTCCAACAATGAGGAGGAGAGAAAAGGGGTGGCAGCTGCATTGCTCGCTCCCTTACTGCCTGAAGGGGTAAAAGAGGAGGAAGAAAGATGGAGAAGAAAAGTAATTTGTAAAGAAGCAGACCTGGTGTCAGAGGCTAAGGAAACAAGCACAGCAGCCGAGGAAGTGGGGCCGAGTATAAAGCCACCAGAAGTTATGATGGACAGCTCAGAAGATCCTGCTCAGGAGGATCTTTGCAGTGTTGTTCAATCTGGAGAAAGTGAGGAGGAGGAGGAAGAGGAGGAGCAAGACACCCTTGAGCTGGAGCTAGCTTTGGAAAGAAAGAAAGTAAGGTTTTACAGATCTTCATAGTTACCTTTACCATGACAGAATGACTGACGCATAAAGATCTTAAGGAAGAAGGATTTGCTTTAGGTGTGGCTGTGAGCTGGGCTGTACCTGGGGCTGCTACCTTGAGGATTGTGCTCATTGGAGTCAGGAAGTAAGGAGGGATGCTGTTGTTCAGCTGGCTCCTTTGTCCCCTAGCTCATGGCAGGGTGCTGCCCGTATTCAAAGTGGGTCTTCCCTAGTTAAACTTCTCTTGAAAAGCCTCTTACTAACGTAGCTAAAGGTGAGTCCTCTAGGTTATTCCAAAGCCAGTCAAGTGGAGAGTGGTGATTTAACCATCAGAGATTAAAAGAACATAGTCCCCTTTAGTCCTGTTACACTTACTAGGACTTTGCTTTTTGCTCATGTCTATACTATTTCTTTTTGAAGATTGATTGATTGATGGTTTGATTGATTGATTGATGGTTTGATTGATTGATTGATGGTTTGATGGTTGGATGGTTTTTAGAGACAGAGTTTCTCTGTATAACAGCCCTGGCTGTCCTGGCACTCACTTTGTAGTCCAGGCTGATCTCAGAGGTCTGCCTGTTCCTGTCTCCTGAATATTGGTATTAAAGGTGTATACTACCACACACACACCCAGATTGTTTTTAATTTTTTTGTGTATAAGTGTTTTGTGTACATCTATGCATGCCTAGTGCCTGCAAAGATAAGAAGAAGGGCATCAAGTTCAAGAACTGCAGTTACAGATGATTGTGAACCTACCGTGTGGGTGCTGGAAACTAAACCCACATTCTTTCCAAAAGCAACAAGTGTTCCTACCTACTGAACCTTCTCTCTAGTGATCTTCTTGCCTCAGAGGCCTCAGTACTGGGATTACAAGCATGTTCTACCACGCCCAATGTTTTACTTCTTTTTAAAAGCTTTTCTGTCATTTTCCCCTGCTTTCAGGGTATTCATCCGCTGCTGTCTTAAAAAGTCTAATATGAAGCAGAATCTTAACTCAGGTCTGTAACAATAACCTGCAGCTTTCCCTGTTTGAAGATTTGAATATGTAGGGACAGATAATTTTTTTTTCTATTATGTGTGCATGTCAGGTGTGTATGTTTGTAAATTTCTAGAAACTGCCCCTCCCATCAAAATTTATTACTGTAATTATGAACATTTATTAATTACAGAAGAATACTGAGCACAGAGAGCAATGTTGAGTTGTGAAGAAAATTGGTTAAAATGCTGCTGTTTCTCAGAAGTTCTAACTTCCAAAGACAGCCACAGTGCTTACTGCAGACGAGGGCTAATGTCTTGCTAACCTTATCATCATATTCTTTGTAGGCAGAGTTACGAGCCTTGGAAGAAGGAGATGGTAGTGTGTCAGGGTCTAGTCCACGTTCTGACATCAGCCAGCCAGCATCTCAGGACGGAATGCGTAGGATTATGTCTAAAAGAGGAAAATGGAAGATGTTTGTTCGAGCTACAAGTCCAGAATCCACCAGCCGAAGTTCTAGTAAAACTGGACGAGAGACTCCAGAAAATGGAGAAACCGGTAATTTGTGCTTCATATAAAACTTTCTCTTCTCCCCATCCCTTCGTCTTGTGCTAGGAATTGAAACAGGCAAGGAATCCCCATTACCACTGAGCACAGGAAACTTTAGAGTTGAACTATGTAGGGTAATAAGCCTTCTGTGCTTTGTTTCTTCTTACACAATAGCAGGGAGATGATATTTTATTATTTGGTGAAAATTCTGGAAATGAAACTTCAAAGCTTCGTTCATGTCTCTTGTTTTTCTACTTATGGTAGAGATGTAAGAATTTGAGGGTTTGAATCAGTTGGGTCCTGTGTTTGTTATAAAGTAGGAATTGTACTTTTTCAACAGCAGGAAATGATTGTCCTAGCCATTTTTGTTTGCTTGTTTTTTGTTGTTGTTTTGTTTTTGAGACAGGGTTTCTCTATGTAGCCCTGGCTGTCCTGGAACTCACTCTGTAGACCAGGCTGGCCTCGAACTCAGAAATCCGCCTGCCTCTTCCTCCCAAGTGCTGGGATTAAAGGCATGCGCCACTACTGCCCGGCCCAACCATTTCTTTGATTCCTTCTTTTTCTTTCTTTTTAAAAATTATTTGTGTGTGTATGATCTGTGTGGGGGGCAGGGGTTACACATGCATCATGGTACAAATCATGATCAGAGGACAACTTTGAGGAGTTGGTTCTCTCCTACCTTTCCATGGTTCTAAGGATGCAGAGTCTCAGGTCACCAGGTTTGGACAGTAAGCTCTGTTACCCACTGAACCATCTAACTACTGGCGGCAAAATTGTTCTGACTTGTGTGGGAGACATGACTTATCCTTTGCTTACTGCTTCCAGATGAACATAAAAGGTCTATCTCTAGCAAGCTCAATCTACCTCTTGGTTCTACTCTCTGTGAAAATTACCCTCTTGTGGAGCAATATTCACACATGGCTTTTAATCTCCATACTCAGGAGACAGGAATAGGCAGATCTCTGTGAGTTCGAGGACAGTCTGGTCTATAAAGCAAATTCCAAGACAGCCAAGGCTACACAGAGAAATCCTGTCTAAAACAAACAGACAGATAAAATATTAACCTCTTTATTATGGGTAGGTACACAGACAACTTGATTCTGTCTGGACCCAAGTTGTCTTCATTCTGAGTATGGTAGAAGAGGCCGTATTTCAATTTCCCAGTTATCAGGGAACTCTGAAAAAAACCTAATATTTTTATTTGCATTTGACCCTAATTTTGTAATGTAAAATTAGGAGTAAGATTTGAACACAAAGCCTTTCTTTAATATTCTTAGCAGTAGATACTTAGTGCGGTTCTGGCTAACACCAAACAATACAAGCAATAAATGAATGCACACATTCTTATTTGTAGAGCCACTCCTCCTCCTTTCCCAGCCAATAATATAGTCAGTGCATGGTGCCACACCTGTAATTCCAGCACTCGGGAGACCTCAAGTAGAAAGATTACAAACTCTAGAGTAGCCTGGGATACATGATGAATTCCAGACTAGCCTGCAAATTAGAGCAAAACCCTGTCTCAAAAAGTAAATAAATGAGTAGGGCTGGAAAGATGCTTGGATGGTTAAGAGCACTTGTTGCTCTTGCAGGAGACCCAGCCTCCCAGCCATCTGTTACTCCAGTTGCAAGAGATCTGAAGCTGTCTTCTGGCCTCTAGCCACTAGGAATGAACATGGTACATACACATGAAGGTGAACCACTCATAAACATAAAATAATAGAGCAAATAGAAATAAATAAAGTAAAAAGTAAATAAGTAGGGCACAGTGAGGTGGCACAGCAGGTCAGAGCACTTGCCACTATGTAGGACAGTCTGCGTTTGAGTCCCAGGACCCACCCAAGTAGTGGTTGAGTGGATTAGTGGAAGGAAAGAAGAAAGAAGGTAGGTCAGTCCTAAACATTGTCCTCTGACCTCCACAAATGGACCATGGCATACGTGAATCTGTACTGCCATACCCCACACCTGCACAGTAAATAAGTAGGGTGTTTGTTTGATTGGTTTTGTGTAGCCCTGGCTGTCCTGGAACTCACTCTGTAGACCAGGCTGGCCTCGAACTCAGAAATCCGCCTGCCTCTGCCTCCCAAGTGCTGGGATTAAAGTCGTGCACTACCAACGCCCGGCTAGTTTGGTTTTCAAGATAGGGTTTCTCTGTGTAGCTTTAGCTGTCCTGGAACTTGCTCTATAGACCAGGCTGGTCTCTAATTCAGAACTCAGAGATCTACCTGCCTTTGCCTCCCAAGTACTGGGGATTAAAGGTGTGTGCCACCACCACTAGCCAACTTGTGTATTTTTATTATAGAATTTTATGCAGTGATGCAAAAAATGAATGAAAATCATAATTCTATGTACTGACATTAATTTTTAATGCAGTAGTATTGAACAAAGCAACAAAAAATGATTTGGAGAAATATACAGGTGCTGATCTGAATATGTAAGCTTGAAAATGGGCAGCACTTGTGTTTAACAGGCTGTCCTGACGAAACTAAACAATGACACTGTCAAAATAGAGGTCGTCTGTGGTTAAGTAGGAAGGTTGGTGACAGGTACAGAGATCCAGATGAAGCTGCATTCTCAGGTTCTAGTTCCTTTATTCTTTCTGTTCACATTGTTGTTGACATTGTTTCAAGGTATTCAACGATGCATGGTACTCTAATAAACTTGCACATTGTAATGTTGCCTCAGGTAGATTCTTAGTTATTCATACCTTGGCCATGTGTGCCTACATGCTTGCATGCATGTATGGCATCTCAATTTTTCTTGAAAAACAAATTTTTATCCATGGTTTTAGTATACAAATTTGACTTATCTTTATACAGAATATAAAGATTTTCTTTCTTAATTTTCTATGTGAAAGCAGTTATAGGCCAAAAGGAAGATAGAACATCCTGCACATAAATAAGGACCAAGTACCGAACGTCACAAGTTAAAGTGGAGAAGAGAAATACTCTAGTCATTCAGATTCAAGAAGCAAGCATGACACAGGATCTGTAAATAATACCAAGTCAACAGCTTTAATTGGGACACCTCAGGTTTTGCAGGGCAGCTTCTGAGACTATAATGTACATATGGACACAGCACGGAAGAGCTAATTAGAAGCTGGAATAAAAGTTTTCACTAAATCAAATTAGTGAAATATTTTTCATATTGTCAAATGCTAGAACAAAACAAAGTGAATGTGAGTGTTGGTATAGCCAAGGCATATTATAGCAGTGTCTATCTGCATGTGCTGAGTTAATTACAGCTTTTTAATTGATGCAGATGAATTATTAATGGTCTTGTCTTCTCACCGAATTCAGGCATGTTTTATTTTAGATGGGGTATGGCTTTTATCTATTTAATTCTATAAAGACATGCTAAGAGAATGTTCATTCTGTGCCAGATTATGACCAGTGACATTGTTCATATAAACTGTTCAAATCCTTGCTTGCTTGCTTTCCTTGATGATGTTGCCGTCAAGTCTTCATCTGTGAAAGGAAGCTGCTGCAAAAATGCTTTCCCAGGGACTGGGAAAGCTGCAACCTTACTCTCTTTCTAATTAACTTCTAAAGCACTTGTTCTTCTAACCGTAAATTACTTCAGCTGGAGTATAGGAAGATTTGTCTTGGTGAAGTGGCCCAGCCAATCCCATGGTCTATGGGTTGCTCAGACTAAGGAAGTTGCTGAGTGGTCTATAGGCATCATTCAGGTGTTCACTAGAGTCGTCACCATTTCACTGTCATTTGTCACTGGGGCCACTTGGGCTCTTTCCACCCTATCTGCCTTCTACCCAAGGCCACAGCAACCTTACACTTGTAAAACTTGATAAATCTTGCTGAATTGCCCTACAAAACCTTGCAGTCAGAATTATAGTAATACTCAAAATTGATGTTATACCTGCTACTAGATAGATCTCTAGAATATAATTGTTATAAGTCAATAAATCAGGCTAATAGATTTTGTTTCAGATCATTTAAAAAGTAGAAAAAATAGGGACTGGTGAGATGGATTCAAGGGTAAAGATGCTTACTGCCCAACAGTGCAGTCATGACCTGAGCATAAAGACTGTGTAAATCTCTGTTACTCTTAAAAGTAGAAGGAGAGAACTGACTTCACAAAGTTGTTCTCTGATTTTCACACATGCACAGTAGCATGTGGACATGTAACACACACACGTTAATAGAAATGATATTTTTCTAATTAAAATTTAGAAAGCCTGAGAGTAGGTATTGCTGTCCACATCTATAATTCTGACACACTACAGAAGCAGGAAGAGCATAGGTTTCAGGCTAGTGGACAAAGGGAAATCCTACTATAATTTTTATTTTGTTTTATCTTGGGGTTTGTAGACTTTCTTGCTGTTTTTTTTTATGTCCTGTCTGTTCTGGGATTCCATGTGTAGTTTTTGGAAATGTCAAAATGATTTTTTCCTGCCCTTACCTCTCAAGTGTTGATGTCAAAGGTGTGCTCCCATGTTAGTTGTGAAGCCCTGTGAAGGGGGAGTGAGGTAGGGGTAGGGAGAGGAGAGGGGGTCTTGGCTAGGTTACTTCAACTGGTCCAGAACCATACATTCAGGTTCAAGCATATTTCCTCTGCCCCCATCCAGGGTAGCTGGTAGCTGGTACTATAGGTGTAGGCAACAATATGAATCTTGATGACTGTAGATTTTAGCCACTTCAGGAAGGCAAATGAGTTGGATGGGGTTGGGGTTGGGAGTGTTTGTTTTTGTTTTTATTTTTTCTGAGATGAGGTCTTGGTAGCTGTGGATTACCTGGTACTGACCTTTGTAGACTAGGCTGGCTTTGAACTCAAAAAAGAGTCACCTGTCTGTGCAAATGCTGAAGTGTGCCACCATGACTGGCTGGTGGTGAGGTTGAGCCAGGAAATTGCTCTGTAGTTCAGACTGGCCTGAAACTCGGGATCCTTATTTTTCCTAAGTGCTAGAATAACAGGCATGACACCCCCACCCCCACCTCCACCCCACCCCATGGCTGGCAGCTGATATTGGTACTCCTCTGGTTCTAAAAGCTGTCCTCCTGTTTCACCCAGTTTAGTCAAGAATTCTGTTTATTTCAAGTTTGATATTTAGCTTTTATAAGAAATTTAAAAGGTGTTATTTTGAAAGAAAAGATGGTAATAGAGAAAGGGAAAACAGAAGCCATAAGGTAAATACAGTAGTAGGACAGTGTGACTGCCTGGTCACCTTTCAGAAAGAACACCTTTGGGACTGGTGTTCTGGTGGACAAGCTGCTAGTGGACAAGCTACTAAAATTCCGACAGAGCAGGCAAGAGAGAGTACTAGTACTAATTTTCAGGCATCTCTTGCAAAGAGAATACGATGTTTGGACCGTTCAGTTGTTTTGGCTTAATTTCATGGGGTTTTTGGTTTTTGTTTTGCAGCAATTGGTGCTGAAGATTCCGAAAAAATAGAAGAAAATTCAGACAAAGAAACGGAAGTAGAAGAGTCTTCTGAGAAGATAAAAGTCCAGATGGCACCTAAAGTGGAGGAAGAGCAGGACCTGAAAGTACGGAGGAGGGTGGTACTTGACCTGGGGTGAATATGGGTTTGCTTCATCTACTGAGGCTGGCCTGAAACTCAGGATCCTCCTGCCTCCATCTCCCAAGTTCCAGGATTATAGGTTCAGTCATTAAACTATTATTAAATGCTGTTACCAAATCGTAAGCTTTAGTATTACTAAACCTAAGATTTTTCACTTTGTTAGATTAAAAGATTTCATTTAAGGTTGGAATAAGAACTTGGATGCTGAGAAATTATAAATATTTACTTTCTTTGAGATTAAGCTTTTGCTGGAAAGAATGAATCTATTAATATAGGCTTTCAGATTTATAACTACTAAAGAGAGGAAAAGATTTAATTTCTATGTGAAATACTTGTCTTTAAACAAAACATATTTGTTTCTAGTTGCATGTGTAACCACATAATGAAGTTTCCTGGTATCACAAATGATTTATAGCCAGGACTCCATCAGATACAATCAAATCTGAACTGTAACTTGAACTGTATCTGAACTGAGGCTTTTGTAAAGCAAAGCAACATTTATATATATCTGAATGCACATCCTTCATGCACGTTAAATCACTGTAGGCTGCTTATACTACCTAGTACTATGTTATGATTTGTGTGTATTATATGCATGTGTGTCATGTATATGGTTGAATGGTTCTTTTAAAACAATATCATTATGTAGCTCGGATGAGCTTAGAAGTCATTCCTCCAGCACTTAGACCACTTGAGAGGATTAATGGTTTTTGCTACCACACCTAGCTTACAGTGTATTGAGAAATATGACCAAAAATGTATATACATCTTGAGTATAGACAGATTTGTTTCCTAAAATTTTTAGTCTGGTTGGTTCAGTGTGGCTCTTCAAATGTGATTTGTTTTAAAAAAAACCGTAGCATAGTATTTTTAAAGATGTTTGATCACTAGTGAATTATGCAACCATGGAGACAGGAGTGAGAGAGGACCTTTAAGGCTTCTGCATGTGACTGGTATAAGTAAGTGACAGTGGAATAACATTCATGATGGTTTCCCTGCAGCTGTTTTGAGATAGAGTTGACACATTTACCATGTGTCACATTTAGATGTTTTGCTTTATTTATCTCTATATACATATAAAGATACTGATTATTACAAACCCTTCTAATAAATTGTTACCTCACTGATCTTTCTTTTGTATGGGAGTGTTAGAATATTTTAATCTGAACAAATTTCAGCTACATGATATGTTTTGTTTTTAAAATTTATTTTATTTACGTGAGTACACTGCTGCTGTCTTCAGACACATCAGAGGAGGGCGTCAGATCCCTTTACAGATGGTTGTGAGCCACCATGTGGTTGCTGGGAATTGAACTCAGAACTCAGTCAATGCTCTTAACCACTGAGCCATCTGCCCAGCTCCTACAATATGGTGTTGTAAACTGCACTCTCCATGCTGTGCATTAGATCCCACTGTAAACTGCACTCTCCATGCTGTGCATTAGATCCCCAGTTTTTTATAGGTGAAAGTTTCTACTCCGTATTGTTCCACCCTCTCACAACTAATTCGATATTCTATTTATGTACATGTTTTTAAAGATTAGGATCTTTGTTCAGCTGATGAAATCCATGTTGTTTGAATGCATTGTAAGTGTGAGTAAGCATTTTATTCATGATTTATGTGAAATTCATAAATTAGAAGCCTAAACATAGCTAGTTACAGTCATCTGTATATAGACAATCTGTGATAGTAAATGGAAGGCTGTACACAGTATGGAAGGAGTGCTGGAGTCTTGGGTTTTCTGTTCTAATTTTTCTTTTCTCTGTTACAGTTTCAGATTGGAGAACTGGCAAATACCCTGACAAGTAAATTTGAATTCCTAGGGATTAATAGACAGTCCATCTCCAACTTTCACATGCTGCTCTTACAGACTGAGGTAATGCAGCTGGCTTGGCTGTGTATGGCATTTTGTTGTTGTCTTATTTTTTATTTACTTGTAGCCATAGCTGGCTGGAGCTTACTACACAGAGCATCAGAAGTCCTCCTGGCTGTCTCCAGAGTGCTGAGATTAAAAACTTATTTGCATCTTATGAAAATTTTATTTTATTCATGTGTCTGTGTGTGCCATGCATGTTCTCAGATGGCTGCAGAGGCCAGAAGACAGTGCCAGGTCCCCTGACCTTTGTGAGCTACCTGACATGGGTGTGGGAGCCACACTGGGTACTGCCAAGCCAATGCTCTTGGCAGCCCTTGTTTTGTTTTAATGTCTGTGTGATGTCCCTGTATATGTGTTTGTGTATTTGCGCATGCATGTGGAGGCTCAGGCTGAATTGTTGTCCATTGCACTTCACCTTATTCACTGAGGAACTCACTGTCTCTCAGTGGAATCCAGAGCTTGCCAGTACAGCTGCTCTATCTGGCCAACTTCCCCTGGTATTCCCTGTCTCCACTCTTTGAGTGTTGTAATTACAGGGAGCCACAGTGCTGGCCTTGTTTTTATGTGGGGTCTGGGATCTTAACTCCTGTCCTAGGACTTGTGGCAAGCCCTTTTTATAATCAAGCTATCTTCATAGCCCATAAATGGTGTTTGAATGGCATTCTGTGTTAAGAGTACATTTTATAGCTAGGTAGTGGTGGTGTGCACCTTCAATCCTAACACCAAGGAGGTGGAGGCAGGTGGACATCTGAGTCTAAGGCTCACCTGATATACAGAGTGAATTGAGATGTTGGCAGAGGGTATAAATGCTAGCACTGAAGCTGCGTGACCGTCAATCGATTCCCAGAACCCATAAATGGGGAGAACCAACTCTACAGAGTTGTCCTCGCACCTCCACCCAGAGCACATCGTACACTCACACAAAAGACATGCCCACCTAAACAATAGTAATAACATCATTTTGTAGGAGAGTGGTTGGTACAAAGAGTGTCTCTATGCAGTCCTGCCAGCCCTGGAGGTTGTTGACCTCAAACTCAGAGACCCTTCTGCCTCTGCTGCGATTAAAGACATGTACCACCACTCCTGGCTTTAAATACATTTTTTTTTTAAAAAATGTGTTTTCCAATTTTAACTTTGGTTTCATATTTGAACTGTCAATCCCAGGTAGTAACATTTTATTGATGAAAGCAAATACCACCTTAATAGATATACATTTTAATTAAGATGAGATTTCTTTGCCTCTTTGGTCTGTTCTTACATTTGCACATAGTGATACAGTCTTTTTTTTTATTTTGGTTTTTGGTTTTTTGAGACAGGGTTTCTCTGTGTAGCCCTGGCTGTCCTGGAACTCACTCTGTAGACCAGGCTGGCCTCAAACTCAGAAATCCGCCTGCCTCTGACTCTGCCTCTCAAGTGCTGGGATTATAGGCATGCGCCACCACTACCCAGCTAGTGATACAATCTTAAGAGTCCCTTTTACCTCTCTTTCCTGGCCTAAGTCCTAATTAATTCTCTTGTTGATTCTAGACTCGAATTGCAGACTGGCGCGAAGGGGCTCTGAATGGAAATTACCTAAAACGAAAACTTCAGGATGCTGCAGAACAGCTAAAACAGTATGAAATAAACGCCACTCCTAAAGGCTGGTCCTGCCACTGGGACAGGTACGCACTCTTCTCCCCTTTTCACCTTTCACCTTTGACATCTCAGACATGATTTGTGATCACGACCACCTGACGCCATGACAGCCTGCCTGGAGACTGCGAGCAGCTGCAGTTCGTGGTGCTGGGCAGGCAAAGCACCTGCAAGCCGACTTTGGCCAGCCACACGTTTGGAAAAACAAAAGCAATGTTTAAAAGTGTTCCATGTAACAGATTTTTTCCCAAGATTGGACAAAGCCGGTTTTTACTCTCCAGAGTGTTGCACGGAGTAGGGCGGGCTTGGGGGTTAAGCGCATGCGAGAGCTCTGTGCGCTTTACAGGACCTCTGGAAGCAACTACTCCTGATTAACCTCGGTGACCTTAAGGAAAGCTTCGTGACTGAAGAAGTGAATGAAGAGCAAGATTACTATCCTCTGCCAGCAGGTCAGATGAAAATATTTCTTTTTATATTTGGCTTTTCTTGATTTTTTTTTTCGTTATTTGAAATCTTTGCTCTTTTATTTTTCAGCTCCCAGATCCTCTCCCTCTCTTTAGCTTTCACTGTGTTTGATATCAAGAATTTGAAATGAATTCCACCGTCCAAGAGGGGAAGAGTCACGTTTCACTTCGAAGTTCTCTTCTTTGGAAGGGAAATTAGTGTTCTAGGCAACTGAGTCCCTTCATTAATGACACTTGAAACTCGGTTTTACATTGGCAAAAAAACCAACCAAACGAAACAAATGATTTCTAAGTCATCTGTTGGAGAGGGCTAAGGGCTGTATTCACAGAGTTGCTGGCAGTGCAAATAGCTTTGAATTATCCTGGGTTCTCCATCCACAGTTGTCAAAGCTCTTTGTTGCCTTTGTGAATAGCAGTCCATAAGAAGAGGTTCGTCCCTGTGAGAGCAGACTGCTTGCTGTCCTGGGACAGGACCAAATGGAAGTGTCTCTGTAGGAGAACAGAGTTTAAAACATGTGTTTTCTTTCTTGTGATTTAGGGATCATAGACGATATTTCTATGTAAATGAACAGTCGGGCGAGTCTCAGTGGGAATTCCCAGATGGTGAGGAGGAGGAAGAAAGCCAAGCACAGGAAATGAGAGATGAGAGTCTTCCTAAGCTGACCGGGAAAGACAGAACCTGCACCGATTCAAACTCTGCAGAACCCTCTGAGAGTTCCACAGGTAAGACAGTTTATTCTGTTCTAGTTGAACAAAAGTTTTAGAGAAAAGGACATCAGTCTTTTTATTATAGGACAGTTTATAGCATAGGAGTAACATATGCTAATTGAAATCCAATTCAAACCATGAGAACACATGAGTTAGCTAAAAGGAATTAAAACAATGACCATTCAGAAAGCCAATGTATATCAGACTCTGCCATCAAAATAAAAAAATAGAATACTATGTTTTGATCTTAAAATATTTCATGTACTGAATATTAATTAGTACATGTTTTTGTGCACTCTGTTAATAAGTACAAATTTTATGTTTCAAATAAAAATAACTCACAGGGCTGGAGGGGTAGCTCAGTGGTTAAGAGCACTAGATGCTCTTTCAAAGGTCCTGAGTTCAATTCTCAACAGCCACATGGTGGCTCACAACCATCTGTAATGGGATCCAATGCCCTCTTCTAGTGTATACTCTTAAAACTTTTTTAAATGTAAAAAAAAAAAAAAAAAAGCTAATTATACTTCTATTGTGTAACTGAGAAAAACAGGAATAGCTGTGCAGAGGACTAGGTCATTGGATTTTCGAGATATGAAAAGTAAAAATAAGGATTGATTTTCATTTTATACAACTGTTGGTGTTTTGGCCTCATTTATGACTTTTCACTAGTCTTTTATTTATTACTGGTATAAATCAAGATAATAGGAAGAAAGGCTTAAAAAGTAGAATCTATTCTAGCAATCAGTGGAATTTAAGGTTGTCAGTGGTATTTTTAGACAATCTGATCAGAAATGGGTAAAACTTCCCATTTAAGATGGTCCTAGAAGAATTGGAGTAGTTTTGTGATTTTTTTTTTCCCCCGTCTATACATGCACAAGTAGAGACCAACCAGCTTTACATCTCATTCTTTTAAAGCCATGCACATTTTTTGAAAGGCTCTCTCTCTCTCACTGAGTCTGTAATTCCTTGATGAGGTTAAGTTTACTGATCTGGACTTTATCCACCTTCTGTGCTTCGAGGATTCCAAGCAGGCACACACGTGCCTCTCTCACTATGTCAGTGGTCTGGTACTTGCTATGTAGACTAGGCTGGTCTCAAACTCAGATTCATCTGCTCTGCCTCAAGTGGTGGGTAGACTATGCAGCCACATCCAGATTTTTTGTTTGTTTGTAAAACATAGTTGGTACGTATTGAACTCGGATTGTCATGCTTGCACCATATACAATGTGTGCCTGGTGCCTGGCACCTCAAAGGCCAGAAGAATGAGTCAGATTTCCTCAGAATCTACAGATGATTGTGAGGTGTGGAGTGAGTGCCATGACTCATGTGGAAAACTATCCAGGAATATTAGCTATCTCTCCAGGGTGCCTCCTCACTCACTGAAATAAAAGAATGGTGGGCTCCTTACTCTGTCTATCCTGAGACCTAATCAGCTGTTCAGAAGAGACACAATTTATAAAAGAAAATAAATTTTTTTGCCAGGTCTTATTTTTTTTCTCTCCTTTGCTTTCCTTCGTACGTCCCTCTCTTCTTTCTTTCCTGTGTTTTAGCAGTACTGGGAAGTAAACAAGATTTTCACATATTCCTACCACTGCTTAGATTATTTTTGACAAGATACCACTCTAATCCAGATTTTGGCCTTAAACATGGGATCTTCCTAGCTTGACCTCCTGTGATTATGGTGCTGCTAGGAGACTTGGGGCAAGACCATGTGTGTGTGTCTCTGTGTGTGTGTGTGTCTGTGTCTGTGTCTGTGTGTCTGTGTGTATCTGTCTCTCTCTCTCACAGAGAGAGAGAGAGAGAGAGAGAGAGAGAGAGAGAGAGAGAGAGAGA